ATTTTGTTAAAAAAACATTAAACATTCTGACTGTCCATTTAAGTAGTCTTAGGTTGATATGAAAAGGGCGCTTGACTTTTTGATTGAAGATCTATGTAGATTTTGGAGATAAAGTCTTCTTATTATTGAAAATCGGAGGTCTTATTTGCACCATTTCATTAGTCGACCTATCTTTGTATTGATGTCATTCTATTTTTTTTAAACCTATACACAAGAAGAATAAATCAAATGTTGTAGTTTCCAACCAAACAACTAGATAAATATTCTTTTCTTTTAAATCTTTTATTTTAAATTTCATACATACATTGATCTAACATATATCTTTCAAATCAAAATTAAAAATACTACAAATAATAAAAATCATGACACATTTGTTTGAAATCTATATATTCAACTGAAAAAAATTGTCCTTGCTTATTTCAATTTGTTTCTGTGATATATAGCTCGACTGAGCTAAATGACCACTGCTCCTGAGTCGCAAGGTTAGGAGTCGATCCTTACGTTGCGGGTTCGAATTCCACTGTTGGACGTAGAGACCGGTCCTTCCTATGAGACCTTAGAAACAGAGGTCTCCTGTTGCAGTGGGCACTGGCACAAAAAAGATGCTTCACTGCTCAAATACCCCAAGTGCCGAGCATACGACAAGATTTGCAGCTCTCCCCCGGCAAGTGTGGCGTCTGCATAAGTGTTGACGTCTCCATATGAGTGAAAATTTCTCTGGAGTGACGTGAAACAACAATCAATCAGTCGTTCATTTTGAGAACCATTGCATGACAGCATCAGCATAATTTGTCAATTACAGTTTTTCTCACAGTGATTCTGCTTCTTCAACACTGTAAAAATCTTCTCAAGACCAACAAGGTCATGATAGGTCTAACTTACAAGCTTAGTTCTTTGTCACTATCTTAAAAACTAAGGAGGAACTACAACATAGGATCTACATTATTCTTTGAAAAAGAGATATACAATATCTTCAAAACGGGACTTTCTTGTTAGCATAGTGATTTATCAACCTCTTGAAGGAATATTAAATATAAAACCAAATGAATTATGAAAAGAAAATTTCAGAATGATAGCCAAAGTTAAGGTTAAATGGAAAATTCCACTGTACGTCCTAAGCAAAACCATTCATAGAAATGTGAATGTACGCATTATTAAAACAAAATATTGATTGAACATTAAAATAAACATCAAAAACAACAAATATAAAACAAAATCGCACAGAATTGCTGCCAAAGATCACAATAAACAATTTTAAAAAATAATATTTAATTTTCAATTTGTTCTTAGTAATATATAACGATTTCTTTCAATACTTGTATATATCCGTTTTAATGATGTTTGAAGAGATTCATTATTCAACAGCACAAATAAAAAGTAAGATGTTGCTAATTTCTATTTCTCTTTAAGAGGAAATACAGACAGATGGGATATATATTGAGCATCACTTCAGACTTTATCTTGGGCGGGCTTAATACCATTATCAAATATCAACAAAAAAAAAATATTTGCACTATGGATAATCTGCTAGAAGATGTTATTAAATACATATAAACCCCTGGATAAGATATGCTGATAGAATGATATGAAATATTTCAAAATTATTTATTTGCAAATTTATAACCAATAAAATATGTTTTTGAAGCAGGATTTTTTTTGGTTCTGCATATACTCATGCTTTTCAGACAAGTATTTAACATTAGCCAAAGAAAAAGAATATACAGGGGTGTCTCCTTCATAATTTTATTTTTAAAAAACCCTTAAAAATTAACATTGTATTAATATAAGTTTTTTTCTAATGTTGTATGTTTTACAGTCGTAAGTAATTGCATTAATCATATTGAATTTTTTCACAGAAAAATAGCCCTTTAGTGTCAGCCTAGACGAATTAAGAATCTTGAATAAATTTATTTTGTTTATTTCATTGGATAAAATTGTAAATTACAGAATTCAAACTATATCTCTTTATAGAAAATGTTTTTTTTTAATTAGTTACAATTTTGATCACATGCTTCTTTTTTCAAATCTCAACATATATATTTTTTTACATCAACAAAAATATTAACAATATAAGAATAAAAAGATATATCTATAAAAATCAGAATCACTTCAAGCAAATGAAATACAAATATGGAATGATGTTAATTGATAACCTTGATCGTCTTGACCCATGTGTGTACATATGGACGTTTATCAGCTTCTACAATCGAACACGCCGCTTAAGTAAATAGAAAAGAGATTTAGTATAACTTCCTGTAGAGCCAAGCCATAAGGTTCAATAAAAAATCTTAAGATGAAAACCATCAGATTTGTTACAATTTGGATTGCGGGGATTCTTTTATACATTGGTAAGAGACCAAATAACATTTCGTGAGAGTTTTGGGCTTGGTTGTAATTTTGATATTATAATTTCACTTTGAAAGGGAAAAATCAATTTCTCAATTTTTTCTCAAATTTTCACAGAAAAAATGTAGATACATGTATATATTCTTCACCCATGAAATTTCATTGCAGAGAATGATCCTTTTTTTTAAGTGATGTACAAGCAATTATTAAAAAATCAAAGTATTTTCTGTTAGTGATATATATACCGGTACATTTTGAATTCGTAAAGAAGAATGGAGACAATAATAGAATTAGAAATCTAAACGATTCAATACATGTGAGTACCGAGACTTAATACATATATGCTGTCAATTGGTTGGCGGACGTCGCCAAGTTCACACAGTAAGACAGCATAACGTTATCTGAAAAAATCTGAAATATCTGAGATCTGTTATAGTCAAACGTTTTTGATGATAGACAATGGATTGAGTGGGCACACAGGCGTCAAAGAAACATTGGATTGAAATTCAAGATTGAAATCCACCAAAATTTTTATAGGAAAACTTATTATGTCTTAAGACACAATTTCAAGTCCAAAATAGTTTGCAATCCAATATTTATAAGACGTCCAAATTTTATAAAGAAGATGTAGATATCTTTTTTCAGAAGCAGTCCATTGATGGTGGGGAGGTGGAATTCATTTCTAATTATATGCCTACAAAAAATAAGAAAAACCTGTGTATTTATTTCACTATGACCAGAGATGTTGCTTCTGCTTCAAAAATACAATCGACAAGCAATGAATAGGAGGGGTGCTGTCGAATTTCAGAAACTTTGATTTTCAGCTTATTATATAATCTATCCCTATCTCCTGACCCCCGCCTGAATTAAATTGTAGTTATATCATTATTATCTTTTAAAAAAAATATATAAATTCATACATATATATTTCCAATCAAGTCAGTTAATAAAAACTCATTTATTTTTATATTTCTCACACACCCCTCTCTCTCTCATGATTTGTAGCGAAGATCCAAAAATTTCTTTTAGTCTTTTCAACTCTTGAGTAAACAACCTAAATATTAATTTGTGAACTGATATCAAGGATCAGCAATTACTTTAGTTTATAATAACGAGAACGAAAGACATAAATATTCCACTTTCTTCTGTGAAATCCATGTTTGGGAATCTTAATCTTTGTTCGGGTTGCTATTGTGTTTTTGTTTTTTAACTAAAAGCGTTCATGTAATTTTTTAAAAATCTAATTTAGAAGTGGAAAGTGCCAGTACAACTACAGTTAAAACAACTCAGATGCTAATGTCTAATTCTGCCACGAATATCACTACAACACTGAGTCCGACAACCGAACAAGCACAGTCAACCAATAAATCAGAGACAATATCGTCACAACTACCATCTGAAACACCGCCATCAACATTAATTCAATCAAAAACTACAATCAAAACAACAACGACAACACAATCCAAATCTACCAACGCACCAACATCCACCTACTTGTTGATTCCAAACACAAATGAAGCATCACCAATTGCAGAAACATCATCAACAACTATAAAAAGAAACACAACGGCACAATCATCAAAAAATAATGACAAAAAATCAACCTCGGCAACTTCATCTACACAAACATCAAGAATACAATCACCAACAACCACATCGACTCGAATTTTAACAACCCCAGCAACACAAACACCATCAACCGAATCACCAAGAACCTTTAAAATACTAGAACCAACAACCAAGACACCCACAAGCACAAGACAAGATTTAACAACATCTCAATCACCAAATATGACAACAACACTCGACACAATTTCAGGCAAAACTCCAACAACCAAGACAACAACCAGAACAAGCGAAACACAAATAAACACAATAGAATAAAAAACAACGACAGACTTAACAAATAAACTAACAAGCTCAGAAACACCAACAACAATGGAATCATCAAAACCAATAATGACACAAGATTCATTAACCAAAAAACCCATTACTTCAACAAAAGAATTAACAACAACCGAGAAATCAACAACGATAACAATAGTAGATTCAAGTTTAAGTAAATCACCAATAACCAGGACAACAAAAACAGAAACAGGAAAAAGCGAAACACCAATAAATAAAATAGAATCAGAAGTAACCACAGAATTAACTGAAGAATTTACCACCTCGGCAACACAAACATTAACGACTGACTCTTCAACATCCAAGGCAATACACAGATCAATATCAACTGAAGAACGATCAAACGGATCAGTACAAACCTCAGCAACCTAATCAGCAACAGTATTAAAAACACCAGAATCAACCGGATCAGTACAAACTTCAACAACCGTATCAGCAACAGTCTTAAAAACACCAGAATCAACCGGATCAGTACAAACCTCAACAACCAAATCAGCAACAGTATTAAAAACACCAGAATCAACCGTATCAGTACAAACCTCAACAACCGAATCAGCAACAGTATTAAAAACACCAGAATCAACTGGATCAGTACAAACCTCAACAACCGAATCAGCAACGGTCTTAAAAACACCAGAATCAACCGGATCAGTACAAACCTCAACAACCGAATCAACAACGGTCTTAAAAACACCAACAATCACAACATGCGAAACAACAACAACTGAAAAACCAACAACAACAGAAGATTTAAATTTTAACAAAACTCCGACAACTAGGACAACAAATTCAAAAATAAGAACAAGCCAAGCATCAACAAACACAATTAAATTAGAAACAACACTTATTGGGGAAGACACATCAACACCAAAACATGCAACAACGATTGAGACAACAGAATCCAATTCAATACGACCGTCAACAATAACTGAAACACCAGTAGCCACATCTTCACAAACAACAACAACTGAACCTCAAGCAGCTACAATATCAAAACAACCAAAAGCAACTGATCATGAATCATCAAAAACAATAATTACGTCATCACCATTAAAATATTTAAAACCAACGACAGTAACAAAACCATTCACATCAACTGAAGCACCGATGACCCCTCAAACTCGACAGTCAACACCAATTGAAATATCGGTTGATATTACAACAATGAAAAGACAAATTAGTACAACAACACTGCAACCAAAGACCGAAACTCTCTCTACAACCGAAACACAGAACACAACAACGGCAGAAAACATAATTATAACTACCAAGGAAAACGGGCCGTCTTCAATTGAAGGTAATTACAGAATTTGTACTCTTTTTATAGGGCACACACATTAATGATGTCGTGTCATTATCCTTTCCTTCAATTTATCTCAAGTGAATTAAAGTTAAGATCTAGTAAAGGACTTTTTTCTGCTAAATCCATTATGATGTGATGATCAATTTCTACTTTCTTTTTCACGTTCTTTTTGACTTTAGCACAACTATGTAGAAAAATAGAGTATTTTCATGGCATTCAATTTGAAATCATATAAAAAATAATCCCGATACCTATATTAAATTTGTTTTAATTTAAAAAAGAGGCCATGAACATACACATACAAATTACCGTTTTCTGAGGGAAAGAAGGCAATCTGGATACGTTTCCTTTGTCGAATATAAACAAACTCCCATTTTCGTGGCTGGTTTTCTTAATTTTTCATTGAAAATTACAGTTAAAAACATGATTTTTCATCTTGTCTACCTACAAATTATGCCCCGAAACACCTTATTTGACCGAGCTATAGTTGTAAAGCATCATTAAAGGAATTTATCTCTCAAATTTAATAAATCTGTAAGCATCTTTAATTTACTAGATCTTGACTTAAAGAGCAAACTTTTTGCAATAAATATAAAGGATTCCCATCAAACAATTGATATTGCTACACACCATTCAGTCTTTTCACTTTCGAAAACTACATATGCCTCATCAACACAAGTGAATTTAAAATTTCGCCTTCCTACTTCTGTCGAATTGACTGGTCTTTATTTCGACTCAAGTATATGTATATTATCCTTATTTAATAATGCATGTTTACATGAGAAACATTTGTATTCGTCTTTAAGAAACATACTTTCATTTTTACTTTACAGAAGTGGCAGTTAACTTAACAATTCAAGAAAAATCATTCATAGAGGACGAAACTGGTCACTTAATTTGTTCCTTCTCCTTGAGTGAAAATATCAGCGTGCCTTCAAACGTAGTGTTTACTTGGACTAAAGACGGAATAAAACTACAAAACACATCGACCTTGAATATCATTCAAACGTGCAGCAGAATACAGTGTGATTCTCGAATAGATTTGTCACATATTGATATTCTGTCTGAAGGTAAATTACAATCATGTCGTTACCTTGTTGATGTGTAAAATGTATGAATAAGTATACAAAAGATATTCATTAATGTAATTAATCTCTTAAAATGTTATTGAGGTATAGGATACGTAGCTCAAGATATTTTACCAGAGGTTTGAGTATCTTTCTGTTGATAAACAGATACTGTAAGAACTTTTAAAGAAATGAATTAGAGGCTAGAAAGACAGCAAATTATCTTCGAATACCACAATGGACATACTTACAAGTTTGTCAAACAGTTTAATAGACTTAATTCTTCTTGTAGCCAGAAAATGCTACACGCTTACTCTAAAGATGATGTATAATCCTACAAAAATGTCCCATTTTTTCAAAATGAACTACTACAAATACAAGGAATTGTTGATTATGGGAGAGAGTTTAAGAGTACTGGTCTTGCATATGTGAAATTAGTATACGCTTATTAACAGAAAAATTCAAAATTTGAATATTTTCCCACTCTTTCATATTTCATCAAATTTTTTTATTGTCTGTCTGTTAAGCTGTTAATTTTGCTGTTTCATTTGGAAAGAAATACTCAGGAACAACCGACCCTAACAAAGATTTTTATATGAATACCTTTGATAAGATTATAGTGGAGAATCTTTACCACTTTGTCAAAAATATGGCACATTGATCATTTACAGCAAGAGCTCAATTTTTTTTTAATACGAGCATATTGAATACAGTAACAAGAAGTGTATGTGAAACACTGATGCCGTCGTGAAAGTTTCTCATACGCAAGTTATCTCAAAATTATGGAAGGACTTTTCCAAATAAGAGAAGGTGAAAGTCAAAAGGTCAAAATTATTGGTATCCAGAGGAAAGTCTGGTAATATAGAATCCACATGTGAAATATTATTTCCCTGGTGCTACATGTAGCTAACCCTAACTCTTCATTCTGTGAATAGTAATTTGGTAAAAACATTTATCATACATGCAGTACTATTATGCTTTTAACATTGGACACATAATGAATTATGTTAACATGAATTTATCCTATCTAGGAAACTATATGTGTCATGTAAGTATGAATGGCTCAGATTTTCATGGCAATGGTACTGCAAGTAAATACCTGGAAATGAAAGAAAAGCCAAAGCTTGTGATGGATCCTATAGCAGCCTCGGTTTACAAGAACAACAGAATTCACATTCGTTGCTTCGTGAAAAACATAAACAAAGTTCATCAAACTCCAATGAATCTTTAAAATGGTGCTTTGGTAATAGAAGTAAAATTAAGGCAGGTGAGTCATACTATACATGTAATTTTCAATGACACGGCTATATAAACTTTATTTCTAACACCTGGGCAATATTTTTCTTTTCAAATTTCTTAATAATCACAGAAAATGGTGACGACTTTAACCAGTCCATTGCATTGCAAGTTGGTAGTGCAGTTGATATTAAGTGTGGAATAAACAACTGTTTATTTGGAAAAACATCTAAGATAAGTGTGGCTGATAAAGGTGAGCTTTTGTAAAGCCTTTCAAGGGAATTATGATATCAGTGCACTGAATACAAATTAATTGAGCATACTTGGGGAAGTTTTCATATACGTATTGTGAGGAAAGAATATTTTACATTCCCTAAATATGTTCAATTACTTCTCATCTACCGGTAAAATCGTATGAAAATCAATTACTCGCATCTGTTGCTTACGTGTAATTGTTACCTAAAGAATCGGAATCGGTATCATTATAATAATAAAACAGAGGAAATACTTCATCGTTTATGTATACATTCGATACATCTATCACTTTTCCTCCTTTTTTGTATAGTTTTCAATTTTAGCCAAAACATTTTATAGATGAGACTTTGTGTGAAATGATTGGAGCCTGGCCTACAAGTAAAGGAGGTCAAGACGCATCCATTCCTTGTCCCACCGGATATAATGGTCAGAATGCATCTAAAGTCTTTAAAGAAATTGACTGTACTTTTTATTCTGTTTTATTAATGATTTCATTTGTCCTATAATTTTAAGGCATACAGAAAAGGAAATGCAACAGAAATGGAAAGTGGGGAGTCATCGACACAAGCAACTGCACACAAGAGAGGCTAGAAAATTTTGAAAAAGCAATCGAAGGAGATAAACATATTTCTGAATCCATTGTACAACAATCGCTTAATGCGATAACAGATGTCGTCATCAATTCGAGCGATGACAACAACAACGTGGCACATATTAACATAATACAGAGCGTCAACATTATATCTGCAATATCTAGCAAAAATATATCATTTGAAAATAAGGCAGCTGCAGAACAATTAACAAAAGTAAGAACACTTACCTTAAGTTTGTGTTGATATTGTCTTTGAGTAAATATTGTTAAGGAACAGTAGGTTATACAATAATACAATAAATGAGAACATTGAATTCTCTTTTTAATGATCGTAATCAGCTATGCTCATCATTACTTTTTCCTCATCCTTATATATAGCATTTTGCAAAAGCCGTGATAAAATAGTTGAAATACATAAAAGTACATATGACATAGTTCTCTTTCAACCAATCATTATATGTAAATGAATTAAGAATACCATTCTGAAAACATTTTAAACAATTATGAATTTGTAGTTCGTCTTCAGATTTTTTTCCGAGTAAGAAATTAAAATATATTTTTTTCGTAAAATATATTAAAATTATTATTGTAGCATTCGCTTGCATTGTACAATGTCGTAAATAACAAAGATAATTATATAGGTTTATTCAAATAGGATAGCCAAGACTGAGAGAAGTGCACACTTAATATTTTTATTGCCTTGTGAATCCTCTAGTTTAAACGTATTCTGTAGCATTTACCAGGTTTTCTAAAGCACATTTTGCTGAAATACTGTGATCATAGTCATCCAGTGGTATAGATACATGTTTTTATATTGTGAGTACAATTAACAACAAAACACATTAATTTAAGTTTTGAAAAATTTTCTTTCTTTATTTGATAACTAGGACTTTGCTAGTGTTGTCAGTCAACTTTTGAACGTGGATAAAACTAAAGTAAAGCAAGCAAGTGAAAAACAGAACAAGAATGTGAGTTTTGAAAATTTGGGATTGTAAAATCAATTTAAATTGTTTGTATGAAAATAAAAGTTTATTGAGAACTATAAATTTATAGCTAAACATTCTGAGTTGTAGGTTAAAAGTAGAATTATTTCTTCTGTGGATGGGTTTGCAAAGTCTGTGTCCACAGCGTTAAAACCTAACGAAACATTAACTGTTAAAAGGAAGAATCTGTGTAAGTTAACTATGGTTTTAATCGTTGAGAAAATAAAGCTGACATATTGTGTTCAGTTTTTTTTCGCCCCGCTTTATTTTTGCCTTTTCAATCATCTTGCCGACAATTTTGCCCTGTCGTAAATTTGCCAAGTCACATTTTTGTTAAAGAAATTATACTTTATTCTTCAAATTTGCATCGTCTTAAATTCGCCCCACCGAGGTATATCTAAGTGTAAAAAGAGGCGAAAACAAATTGGAGGCAAAAATTTCACTGTATACAGTATAAATATATACTCGATTACGTTTCATGATCAATTATTACGCGTAAGACGATTTTCTTCATTCTTTAAGATGTACCTTATCGCTTTTCTGTCTATTTTAAGTGTTAACTATAGAGAAGATTCCAAAGCAAAAGATAGTATTCCCTAAAAATGCATCAAAGGCTGATGACACTGTGACTAAATTTAACTTACCAGAAGAGGCCCTCTCAGAGCTTGGTAAGTTGACTTTTACGTTTAAGTTACCTAATCCATGTATATTGCGTTAGAAGTAATTATTTTCCATCCCTTAGGCTTATTTCTTTTCATAACCCACTCAACACTTCAACACCCTTTCTTATCCTCTTTCAATGAGCAAAAAGTCTGTAAAACATATTGTCGTGTGTTTCCACCTTTGTGACTTTCAATAGTTCGTTTGAAATTCTCAAAATATTATTAAAAATGACATATATTTTTTTGGCAGACTCCAATTTTGTAAAGGAAGATAATCCAAATTTCAAGTAATGACATCCCTGATTTATTGATTCTTAACTATAAGCAAGAAATAAATCAATGCGTGAAATTGCGAGAAGCATCACTCGCGAAATAAAATTGCTCGCTTTTAATCTTAAGGTGCAGAATCTATGTTATTTTTCTTTTTTAAGCGTTCATTCGCAAATTATTTTATTCTCGCGATCTGACATTATATAGGCGTTTGTGATAATAAATACTCACGAAAATTAAGGAATCTACAGTATATCAATGCGGTCAAATCTTTACGTTTCAATTCAATTAATCTATTGTGTAAAACACATTATTCAAGATATTCTTTTCATTGTATGATCATCAAATATCTGAATAAATTTGTTTTATTTTAATAGGAATTGGAAATATTGTTGCATTCACGGCAGTAAAATACGATGATTTTGGATCTGATTTTGATTTCGAAGGCACCAATAAGTGAGTTGAAATTATTTTTATTTTCATACATGGATGCTAATTGGGAATTGTAATTGGTTACTTAATAAAGTTACCATTGATTTGTTATAAAATAAATGACTTTGATATATATCTGACAAGGAAGTTCAATATAAAGTTGACTTAGTGATATTTAATATCGAACAGATTGGAAAATCACATAAACTACCCTTGCTAATTTCATCTGTTTAATTGTGTATCTTCAGATTTTATTCAAATATACATGTAATTTTTTAAACACATCGGAGGAATGGGGTAAATTCTGAAACAATGTTTGTAAATGCGCATGTCATTCTTGTATCACGAACAGTTATATCCATCCCCCCGAAATATACAAATAGGTCATAAACACGGACCTTTTATAATTGGGATAGTTCGAGTTCCCATGAGAAGTACTGATATATTCCTCGATAACAGCAAATTTAAATATACTTTTTTTAATTCAAATGCTTGTGATCCTTTTATTAATGTTAGGTTTGGCTTCTCTCTTTTCCTTGAAAAGAAATGGAGTTGTTTAAATCTGGCACGACAATAATCAGTTAATTTGGAAAGAAAATTATTCAAATTTCATTCTAGGTTCATGGGTTTTATCATGTTTCATGGATGATTTTTTTGGAATATTTAGAAAGAACATCACGGTCGACTCAAGTGTTCTATCACTTACAATTGAAAACTTACAAGAAACAAAATTAAAATCGAACATCACTTTAACATTTCAACGAAAAAATGTAAGTAGTTTTCTTGGTTATTTGGATGATTTAATAATAAGATCTTAATATTTGCTTTTCTTATATGAGCTTAATGCAAATAGAAAGTAAATATATAACGTGTGTCACTTGAGAAGGTAATGGATAATTTTTAAGAATGTAACAATTTAATATGGAATCATTTTTATTCGTGTGGGGTCAATGTTCGCTGGTAGTCAAAAATTGGCTGGTTCATGGGTATGTAACTTCGTTGATAATTTTTATTTCCTAATTTGACTTTCAATGAATAATATATATATATATATATATATATATATATATATATATAGAAAGCACAAAGAAATTCACTTTTACATGGATACCCACTTCCGCCCCAGCCCGGGGTTGAACTCTCGACCTTCGGAATCTGTCTCCTAGCAGTGCAGGAACAGCGCGCTAGACCGCTCGGCTATCTAGGCAAGTCAAAAAACTTGCTTTCGATGCCGATGGAATTCTCGCGGCCCTGCCCTACACTACACGGTCATTGAGAATAGAAGTGAGATACAGTTATTTGGACATTAGTTTTAACAGAGGATTGTTACCAATACATGTTGTAATGAAATTAATTATTATTTATAAAGCACATTTTACAACAACTCTTAAACTAACATAACTGTCCTAAGTGAAGAAATATTATATAGAAAGCACAAAGAAATTCACTTTTACATGGATACCCACTTCCGCCCCAGCCCGGGGTTGAACTCTCGACCTTCGGAATCTGTCTCCTAGCAGTGCAGGAACAGCGCGCTAGACCGCTCGGCTATCTAGGCAAGTCAAAAAACTTGCTTTCGATGCCGATGGAATTCACGCGGCGCTGCCCTACACTACACGGTCATTGAGAATAGAAGTGAGATACAGTTATTTGGACATTAGTTTTAACAGAGGATTTCTTTGTGCTTTCTATATAATATTTCTTCACTTAGGACAGTTATGTTAGTTTAAGAGTTGTTGTAAAATGTGCTTTATAAATAATAATTAATTTCATTATACAAGATGTATTGGTAACAATCCTCTGTTAAAACTAATGTCCAAATAACTGTATCTCACTTCTATTCTCAATGACCGTGTAGTGTAGGGCAGCGCCGCGAGAATTCCATCGGCATCGAAAGCAAGTTTTTTGACTTGCCTAGATAGCCGAGCGGTCTAGCGCGCTGTTCCTGCACTGCTAGGAGACAGATTCCGAAGGTCGAGAGTTCAACCCCGGGCTGGGGCGGAAGTGGGTATCCATGTAAAAGTGAATTTCTTTGTGCTTTCTATATAATATTTCTTCACTTAGGACAGTTATGTTAGTTTAAGAGTTGTTGTAAAATGTGCTTTATATATATATATATATATATATATATATATATATATATATGCCTTCGTGGGGATGTAAATTCGTGGGTCAGGGTTACCTATGAAAGCCACGAACACTGGTCCCCCACGAACAATGATGATTCCACAGCATTGCTTTGTAATTTTTTTTCAGAAATATGAGAGTGCTTCCTCTTCAGATTGTGTATTTCTTAATTTAACTTCACCGTAAGTAGTTAATTAAATGCCAAAAATTGTCTTTGTATGACATGAACAGTTTCTTTTTTCCATTTACCTAACATTGGTATTAGCCCAGTAAGACAAGGTAAAACAAGAGACCCAGGGGCCACAGCGCTCACCTGAGCACATCGGGCTTGAATTTATCCCCCCCCCCTCCAGGCGTTCATCATTTGAACAAATTAGAATCTACACTACCTGAGGATGATTCCATATAAATATCACTAATCATAGCTTTGAAGTACTTGAAAAGAAGATTTTAAAAGGTTTCCCTATACAGCTGTATATCCCTATGTAAAACTTGGGTCGGCCATTTTGGCCCCACCCTAGCCCCGGGGGTCATGATTTGAACAAACTTGAATCTACACTACCTGAAGATGATTCCACATGAGTTTCATCTTTCCTGGCCCAGTGGTTCTGGAGAAGAAGATTTTTAAAGATTTTTCTTATATATTCCTATGTAAAACTTGGGTCGGCCATTTTGGCCCCACCCTTGCCCCGGGTGTCATGATTTGAACAAACTTGAATCTACACTACCTGAGGATGATTCCACATGAGTTTCATCTTTCCTGGCCCAGTGGTTCTGGGGTAGAAGATTTTTAAAGATTAATCCTATATATTCCTATGTAAAACTAGGGTCGGCCATTTTGGCCCCACCCTTGCCCCTGGGGTCATGATTTGAACAAACTTGAATCTACACTACCTGAGGATGATTCCACATGAGTTTCATCTTTCCTGGCCCAGTGGTTCTGGAGAAGAAGATTTTTAAAGATTTTTCCTATATATTCCTATGTAAAACTAGGGTCGGCCATTTTGGCCCCACCCTTGCCCCTGGGGTCATGATTTGAACAAACTTGAATCTACACTACCTGAGGATGCTTCCACATGAGTTTGATCTTTCCTGGCCCAGCGGTTCTGGAGAAGAAGATTTTTTAAAAATGCCATTAATTTTTAACAAATTCATGATTATCTCCCCTTGGAAAAGGGCGTGGCCCTTCATTTGAACAAACCTAAATCCCCTTTACCCAAGGATACTCTGTGCCAAGTTTGGTTGAAATTGGCCCAGTGGTTCTTGAGAAAAAGATGAAAATGTGAAAAGTTAATGACGACAACGACAACGACGACGACAACAGACAACGGACAAATTTTGATCAGAAAAGCTCACTTGAGCCTTCGGCTCAGGTGAGCTAAAAAGGAAATACGTTTACGCTCTTGAATTTTCTCTTTGTTATTGTGAACATAAAATAATGTTTAATCATATTCTTTTCTTATAATGAGCACTATTTGAGCTGAATAAATGAAATTAATCTTATTTATCTTTAAAACATACCCATGTGATTTATACAGCACAGGTAGCATGTGGAGCGACAAGGGATGTAGCGTCAATTTCACGAACAGTTCCCTCACTGTCTGTACCTGTAACCATCTCACAAATTTTGCCATTTTGATGAGTTTGTCAAATGATTTATTTGAGGTAAACCCCCAGAATTTCAATTTATCTCACAGATAAATTTCAACAAGGATCAGTATTTTTTTATCCATCACCTATATTATTCTTCATTTCATTTATTACTTTACCTAGTAAGCACATTTTTTTTTTCAAGAACCAGGGTCTATTTCAACCAATCTTCCCCCTATAAACATAACTGAATGCAGGAGATTCAAATCTCAAATAAAGGACAATCTTTCTTTAGAATAGATATTTTAAAATTTATAAAAATTAAAAACGTCTTTCAATTTGTTTCAGTGTTTAAAAAATATCACTTAAATTTAGGTTGGGACCATATTGGTCAATTAAAGTTTAACATAGAAATATACTGGAAGAAATATTTTCAATCTTCTTCGTAAATTTCGTAAAGATCGTCAAGGCAGCTCATCAAGTAGAGCTCTCGCTTTGCGATTCGAAGGTCATGGGCTCAATACAATGCCGAGTTTGACATAAGTCAATAAAAGCAAATAGGTAGCAAATATTCCTTCTTCAATCCTGGGTACATTGAAGTGAAAGCTGCAGGTCCTTCGGATGAAACTTTTAAACCGATGCCATGTGTCACGGCACGATAAAGATCCCTCACTCCTCAATGGCACTGTGTTCCGAATTAAGCTACCATTTGAGGTCCTTCACTGGTATAGCGTACGGTCTCTATATGAAAGTAAGAAGACAATCAAGAAATCTTTAAAGTTCAATACTAATAATAATGGTTATAATCATCAACTGGTACCGAAGAAATCATAATCTCTTTAATGGTTATAAATTAATGTACATGTGTAGGGAATCATTGTTTTCTTAGCTAGTTTTCTTTACATTTTCTTTAAATTTGAAATAATGCAGTAGTAAAGTTTTTATTTCCATTATTCTATTATTGTTTTTTTATAAAGGTATCCCATGAGGATTATGAGAGATTAAGAATGATTTCTATCATTGGTTGCAGTTTCTCTATTACCGGGGCTTTTGTAACGATCTTCATATATCTGTATTTCTGGAGGTAATAAAGAAATTAATCAAAATAATTTTGTCAAATATACATTTTTATTTCTCCAGAGAGAGAGAGAGAGAGAGAGAGAGAGAGAGAGAGAGAGAGAGTGATGCTTGAGTATGTTTATGGTATTTTCATCTTAAATAGATATATAAAATCCCGTCGATCATCATTGGTTGTCCATCTGTGCATTGCACTTTGTGTTGCATATCTAATGTTCCTGACAGCAGTAGAACACACTGAAAATAAGGTATCATTTACCGAATATATTTATTGTATATAATATTTTATTCAGATATAGAATGTTTTAGAGAGTATACCTTGAAATTTAATGCTATTGAGCATCTTCAAAAATATTTTTTGACTTTTCCTTTATACTTTTAGATCGGTTGTGTTGTCATTGCTGCGTTATTGCATTACTTCTTCTTGGCTATGTTCTGTATTATGTTGTGTCTCGGTATTGACCTAGCAGTAGCCATTCTCGATGTATTCAATTCGAGGTCAAGTTCTGCAGTCTTTTACCTTGTTGGATGGGGTAAGTGCATTCATACTAAATGAATAATTGGAGTGTATCTTAAACTTTTCTATTGTCAACTTCCCTTACTTATGCAGCAATATACCTTCAACACCTGCATATAGAGTCTATATATCTCAGTTGATTCGATACGCAAGAGCATACTCTACGTATTAACAATTTCTAAAAGGAGGTAAATTATTGCAAGCAAGTTGATGAAACAAGAATATCAGCAGTCTCGTTTAAAGTCATCATTTCTTAAGTTCTATGGTCGATACAATGACCTTGTCAGCAAATACAATTTATCATTGAGTCAAATGCTGACTGACGTTTTTCATACCGATTGTAAGCCCATTATTAATACACTGAATTGACAATGGATTTTTTCCGTTATTTCCTGATCATGACAAGGAGCACACGGCAGGCGTGACCGGTCGGCAGGGGATGTTCACTCCTCCATGGCACCTGATCCCACCTCTGATGTTTCGGGGGTCCGTGTTTGCTCTGATCTTATTTTATATATAACATGAATGTCATATGATTTCTCAAATCCTTATGCATTTATTTTGTTTAATTATCCATTACAGTTCATACTCTCGGAGTAAATGTTTGAACTACATGAAAGTGATAAGGATTTGTAAAATAAAATAAAGACCATTTATTTTTACAAATAAAATAATAAAGTAAGGAAAATATTGCAACCAAATTCTACTGCTTTTATGTATAGGAGTACCAGCAATCATAGTTGGTATTACACTCGGTGGGTCACAGCTAGAAGGTTATGGAGACAGTAGATAGTAAGTAAATTGATTTTTCAACCTATATTAATATCAGTGTTTTTGTAAAAAAAAAAAAAAATAAAAAAACTAGAGGAAAGCTCATTGCAAAGCAACGAGTTGGTCTTCCGTCCTGTTTGTTTGACCGGAAGTAACGTTTCAATTTAAAAAAAAATGAGTAATGGCGTCATCGATAATTTAAATCTTCCAAATCTATGTTGATTAATGCAGAAGTAAACTATTTTCTGCCACTTCGGTTTGACCGGAAGTGCTGCCGAGGGACGGCAAATGAAGTTTTAAGTTTCCAGTGATATTTATTACCCAAAAATGTGTCAAAAACGACTTAAATATGCATTTTTCGACTACTTCCGGTTTGGCTGAAAGTGACATCACCGGACATATTTTGACGACCTTAATAGATCAAGCTTGACATTTTGAACAACTTTGCTTCTTTGACGTCAGGGTTCTCCATGAGCTGTTTTACTGTTTTGCTCCCGACACAGTAAAATTTTCTCCGACACAGTACTTAACGATTCAAATTTTATGCGTGCGACACAGTAAAAATTTTGCCGACACAGTAAGATCTGTGATAATCAGAAAATCAAAACACATAAATTTTATTTAATTGAAACTTTAATCAAACAATCCTACAGTCTTCAATTATAACAGGTAGAGCCTTTAATTAGGTCTTCACCTTGCATAATCAATTATCTCCTAGACTCTCGCCGGACTTGACGCATGAAGGAACAAAGACAAATAATTTGTTTTCACACTTCTATGTAACGGTTAATTGGTAGTTGCATTAAAGTACATTGTACTATTTTTTAAACAATATGTCTTTTCTATAGATCCGAGGCTTTAGAATTATGTTAAATGGTACTGCGGTAAGTCAAACATTACTAATCATCATCGTACCGAAATCATTTAATTGATGTAAATAAATTGTTTTAATTTTTCAAGGAGCTCATAAAAATATTCATCTATTCTGAAGTTTCCTTTTTTGTAATTCGATAATTCTATCAAGAAAACTTACAAAAATCACGGCAAATTTACTTTTATTAATGGTAAATAGTTCGACTGTATCTACCAGAATTTCCTCTGTTTTTCAGAACATGTGTTTTTACTTTTACCAATATGTACGACCGTACTATTTGTGTAACGAATTATTAATTTTTAAATGAAGTGTGTGATGTATTCTTTTATTCATCCCCTCAACTTCGAGATACTGATATTTTACTGTATAATGAATAGTGATTCAGTTACGAATTTCATCGCGAAAATGTCGCGAAATTTAAGTGCTTCGCGTAAACTCTGCAACACAGTAAAATTTCAAATGATGGAGAACCCTGTTGACGTATTACAAATTCTCAATATTTTTTGAGATATCAAGAAAAAAACTTTTGGCCCCTCTAGATCCCTTATTTCAGGGGTAAGCCCTTTTTTGGAGATAACATTTGAAAGATCTTAGGATTCTTCACAATTTTTGTTCTGATTTTTTACAATTTTTGTTCTAAATGTTTTTACAAAATAATTCTAAATAAAAAGATATCGTAGAAAAGGTTTTTAGATATTTTGAAATTCACAATAGGACTATTTTCGGGCCATAGCGAGCGTCGGCTCTTCGTACTTCCGGTGAATGATATACTCAATTCACATCTCCAAAGGTTGCTGGAAATTTTTATACTTTTATCTTCAACGGTTTTTGATAACATTGCCGGACAAAGTGACCCTCTAATAATGACAAAATCGTGAAAATCTCCGAACCGGAAGTGACGTCATCAAAATAAAAAAATCATTTCTAGATTTTTTGATGTTCTATCAGACCTGAAAGTTTCACGAAAAACTATCAAGCCGTTTCCAAGAACTCGCGTGCACAAAATATGTAAAAAAAAAAAAAATAAAATAATAAAAACTGTGGAAAAGAAACCCAATAATAACAGTAAGGTCTTCCGCTGAAGACAGAAGATCTGACCTTAAAAATAGTGGAAAAGAAACCCAAGAATAACAAGAAGGTCTTCCGCTGAAGACGTAAGACCTTAATAACCGTAGGGAAACTTTTAAATCCTAGAAATGTCTTGAAATAAATTGAATATTCATGTACTTTTGCATATATTTTGGCAAGTTGTTGGTTGAGGAATGCATCACTTTATGGATTCATCGTTCCAGTCCTTTGTATAATTTCGGTAAGAAGAAAAAAAATAGATATATGTTTTTCAAAATATTTATCGAAAAATTGTTTATAATTAAAATATATCTAAAAATACAGTTTGCTCTTTTAAAAACATGTCCAAAAACCCTTAGGTAAATCTTATCATCGTCATCATCGTTATGAGAATGATGTTCACATCAGCATTTATGGAGAAGAAAACGTTGAAAGAAAAGACAATGTAAGTAAAGAAAATCGTCAAAATGGATTTTTGTTCTATTGTTGCTTAAACGTTGCTGAATCTTAAGTGGAAAATATATATATAAATAGGTTCCATTTCTGATACTGAAAAACATGTTTTACTTTTTTTCATATAAATAGACTTTCTCTTAAAATTTGGAGTTGCATTTACATGTATGATTTTTCCAGTTGTTTCATTGATCCTAATCTCTGGTCAATATGATTTCTTTTTCTGAATTATGATTAAAGAAGTTAAAGCTATTCAAATAAAAAAAAAATCACTGAAAAATATGTTTTACTTTTTTTTTCGTATAAATAGACTTTCTCTAAAAATTTGGAGTTGCCTTTACATGTATGATTTTTCCAATTGTTTCATCGATCCTAATCTCTGGTCAATATGATTTTTTTTTCTGAATTATGATTAAAGAAGTTAAAGCTATTCAAATAAAAAAAAAATTCAATTACCTGAATTTACAGAAGTGGTGTAAGAGGAATGTGTGCATTGCTACCAATCCTGGGATTGACATGGGTGTTTGGAATTCTCTCATTCAGTGAAGATCTTATATTCTTCCAGTACCTTTTTGCTATCTTTAACTCTTTACAGGTAAAATATACTTTTTCTTCAAATTACTTAATTCGAAATAAAGGGCATTTCTTTTGAGTACTTATAGTAACTTGACTTTTGTTTCTAAATCAATAAATTCTTATATTATTTGCTGTCTAAGGAAATGAGCTTTATATTAATTTCTTATTAGCTATATAGAACATATGTGTTTTTTTCTAGGGTCTTTTCATATTCCTTTTCCATGTTGTGTTGAATAATCAGGTAATATATTAGAACATTTTAATCTAAAGAAATTTATAATGTTTAATGTGTTTGGTCGAAGAAAACATGAATGATCTGGAAAAGATAACGGGTAATATTTCTAAATATGAAGGGCACCATTGAATAAATACTGCATGTAGTTGAATGTAATATTGAAAATTTTCCCCCCTCGAAAACAATTGTCAACCGAGGCGCAGCCGAGGTTGACAATGGTTTTCGAGGGGTGAAAATTTTCAATGTTACACTCAACTACATGCAATATTTGTTATATTATACTGAATGTTTTATACAAATACATATAACAGTGAACCGTGCGCGCATAAATTCTGCGCAGTCGCTTTTTTTTGGAATATCACCCGTCGTCAAGCAATGTTGACTGTTGCTACGCTGGAGGGCGTGGCTTCATTATTCAGCGGATAATAGTGCTTTTTAACAAATGTTTCTCTGCCAATCAGATTCAACTAATTTACATGAAAGTATAATATCAATAAATGCTACACTTTACCATCCGTAAATTCAGAAATTCTAAATTTACTTTTTTTTAATCTATCTTCTTTGAAAAGATTGAGGCCTGTTATGCTGATTAAAAAACACATGATAATAAGAAGTCATGCAAAATATTCAACACTTTTTACGTTTAACAAATTAAATTTACTGTACATGTGTATAAACATCAAACAATGTTACATATATGTGAAATACAACTCAATTTTTTTTTTGGGGGGGGGGGGTGCGGGGAGGTGGGTAATGCAATGTAAAGTCATGGAGTTTTGATTTTTATATTTGCTTTGGAATTGACATCACTTGTTTTCTCTGCCTTAGGTGCGCCAAGCAGTTGCCAAGAAAATTAAACAACACGAATCAAAAACATCTTTCAATAAATCTTCGAAAAGCAAATTCGTAAGTATTTTTGAATGTGAAATATGACATTAATTGTGGAAAAGAAAATATGAGAAGAGATAAACAAAAACAGTTCCATTAATTATCTTATACGTGTGGGGGGATGGGATGCCTATGAGATAAACTTATGCTTTATCCATGGGCAAGATTTTATCTTATTAAAACCTTTTTTGTGAAAATTATTGTCCTTATAAAATGAGTGATAAAGAGTAATAATATCGTGAAAGGCAAGAAAAATACTCGTTTATGTCAGAGAAATGTCTCAATTTATCAAGGTACCTTTATTGGCTACTTGAAGACAGATTTTAACCCACCCACTTTAACCTGTCCAGCAGTTCAGTTGTTGTTGTAAGATTCCTTTAAAATTCGTTCTTATATAATACTACATATGCCTACCTGGTAATGTAGGTGAAACTTACCATGGATAAACAATAAATCTACAAGCCCCTTGCCTTGCCTCGCATGTTTTGTATTGCCACTACAACAATTAATTTTCACGATCCCATGGTCCATACAACTTTCAGTTGGATAAAGCCAACATCAAATCAGTAATAGGTTTGTTTTGATGTAAAGCTTCAGCAGTTCTCACAAAACGTTTTGAAAGACGCAGATAGCAAAAGTTTTGAAGACGATCCACTTTCTTTCGAGGCATGTCAATATCAACTGTGTCCTCGTCATCAAGTTATACATGTACGTCATTAATTTGAATAAGCAATCATCCTTGTAGTTTTGCAGGGGGTGAGTCTGAAAGTTTTATTAAAATGAAAGTCGAATGAGATAAATAAAACATCTATAAGTATGTTTTTTGATATTGGCTTTCTCAAACTCGTTGAAATGATGTATATTCGCTCGGCAAGCCACGTGAATATATACACCAATTCAACTCGTTGGATAAAGCCAAAATCAAAGCACATAATTAACGTTAGATTTTTCCGTTATTTTCCGATGGAGAAAAGGAGCACACGGCGGATGTGACTGGTCTGGGGTAATGCTCATTCCTCCATGTTACTGATCCAACCTTTAATGTTTTATAGCTCCGTGTTTGCTCTGCTCTTTTTTGTATTTTTCATGAACTTTGATCTTAAATACTGTTTGTTATTTCCACATGTTTCATTTAAAATAATATTTTAAGATAATAAATCGTCTAAGTATTGGTTTTTTAATATATTTTAAGGTATCAAATTCAAGTTCAGAAGATGTGCTTAACAGTATGAGTGAAGGTAAAGAAAACGCAACATTAGCGTGCAAAAGTAATTTTGATATCTACTCATTTATAAAATTTATTTATAAAATAACATTTCTCAAATGATGAAATGTTTGTCTATATTTACCTTTGAACATTGCACTTTTCAATCACATTTTAGAGTCAACTGTTTCATATAAATACAACATTCCAAGATTAAGCTTAAAGGTAAGTCGTTTTAAGACACTTTGTGCAGATATTTTACTTTAATCATGTCTTTTTTCTTTAAATTAAAAAACTTTACAAAAATTCAATTTCAGATTCCAGATAACAAAACACAACTTTAGCAAAGAGAAGAATATGAGTGAATACAAAAATGCCTTCTCATTTTTTTACTTGTTTCTATGTAAATGAATTGGTAATATGATTAACAATAGATAAAAGTATTTGTCCTGCATAATAAGAAAAATATACACTGTAACTACGAAATCTTGGTAAAAAATGATAAAAAGCATTGTTGTTTTTTTTATATACTTTTGTATAATATTTTATTAACATGTTCCAATCAAATAATTGTACGTAAATCAAATTTTGACGTACGTTTATTCTTTTTTTGTCATCGTATATGTTCTTTCAGAATACTGATTATTCAATAAATCATTTTACATTGAATATTTTTGCCATAAGTCCTTATTTTAGAAGTTAATTAGATGAATTTCATTTCTGACAAGTAAAACAAAAGAAAAACAAGAGGCCCATGGGCCACATCGCTCACATGAACACATGGACTAGTTGAAAATCACAAATCAGCTTAGTATTGAAAATGGTCAGTGGTTGGTAGAGGGGGGTTGAATTTTCTTATACTTGAGAATGTCACTAAGTTAATAAAGTATGCATCTAATATTTTGCCATACATGGCATGATTTTTCCAACATATTACTCGATCTCCCATTGCAACCCCTTGGTACCCCCCCCCCCCACGTACCTGACACTATTTGCTTTTTGAATATATTTAAATCTTCACTACTTGCAGATGCTTCCATGTTAATTTGACTAAACATTTTATTCTGGTCTGGAGAATATTTTTTCCTATATATTCTATGTACATGTATATTATATATGCAAAACTTCCCTCATTGTGGCCACAACCCAACCCCCAGGGTCAAGAATTGAACAAACTTTAATCTACACTACCTTAAGAAGCTTCCATATGAGTTTCATCTTTCCAGGCCCAATGGTTCTGGACAAGAAGATTTTTAAAAGACTTACCTATATATTCCAATGTAAAACTTTGATCAACCATTGTGACTCCGCCTGACCCCCGGGGGTCATAATCTGTACAAACTTGAATGGACACTACCTGAGGATGCTTCCATATGAGTTTCATTTCTAGCCCAGTGGTTGTGGAGAAGAAGATTTCTAAAAGATTTTCCCTATATATTCCGATGTAAAACTTTGGTCAGCTATTATGGACCCGCCCCAATCCCAGGGATCATTATTTGAACAAACTTGAATCTACACTATCTGAGGATGCTTCCAAATGAGTTTCATCTTTCCTGGCTCAATAGTGCTGGAAAAGAAGATTTTTAAATGATTTTTCCTATACATTCCTATGTAAAACTTTGATCAACCATTGTGGCCACGCCCTACCCTCGGGGGTCATGTTTGAACAAACCTGAATCTACACTACCTGAGAATTCTTCCACATGAGTTTCATCTTTCCTGGCCCAAAGGTTCTGGAGAAGAAGATTTTTAAAAGATCAGGTGAGCTATAAAAAGAAGCATAATTACTTGTAAATAGACAGCACATTTGAAAGGTTTAAAGCTGTCTTTAAAGGCCCTTTCACAATTGGCGCACGAGCAGAAGCGACAAAATATTCGTGCGACCGAATAATTTTGTTTTGGATCGTAAACTGTTGTCAAAATAATTGCATATGAAAAAAGTGTTCTTACGAAATTCGAACGATCTAAAGCGACTGTTGTGCATTAAATCTTGAGATATATCGTGCGTCTATATGCGACTATTGTAGAATGAAAGCGAGTGTTGCAAGATAATGCTGTAGGATTGCACGACTGATCAGGTATTCGGACGATTGAATGTGCAACAATACGATTGGACGTGCGGTGCTCGTGCGCTCATGCATTCCATAGTACGAATGTTCGTACGGGTCAGAGGGCTGGGTATATATACCAACCGTTTCCGACGCTCTTTAGTTGACATAGTTAAGATGCTTATAATTATACACGGTATATATACCTGTTGCAAAGCATGGTGATAAATCAAGCAATGATAGTAAAACGTTCCAAGATTACATGAGACATGTTGAGCAACAGTCTCATGGTCGCAAAACACACGAAAAGACAGCTGCGGTTCATCTTACGATTTTTAAAAATCGTGCATCACTCTTACGAGTACATAAAACGTTGTAAGACGTTCGTACTAATTTTCGTGCGATGAATTGCGATAATTTGGATCGCATTTGGTTGCGTCTGAATAGTGTGCATGTTGACTATTTTGAGGAGACTTGACGCGACCACTAAAACACATGCAATGAATGCGAGACATCGTGCAACGCATGCGAGAGCTCGTGCGAAGCTAAAATTTTCCGATCGCAAAGTGTTGTATACTAGTAGTGTTCGTGCACCAATTGTGAAAGGGCCTTAAGGTAGTCCGATCCTCAGTTTATAAAATAAGCAGTTAAGTAATCAAAAATACTCATAAAAGTATATCTGAATCCACAAAGTCATGTAAATTTATGCACAGTATTTCTTTAAAGTTAAAGATTCAAGTAAATCATATTATATAGGGAAAATTGTCAAATCTCCAATATTTTTGCAGAAAAAGCGAATTTGAATATCAGCAATACATTTTCTAATTGCAAATTGATCAACAAATATATTTTATGTTAAAAAACGATAGGTATCCAGGCATTAAGAGAAATTGTCATGATTTTTATACTTATTTGGTATTTTTTGTCGTCTATTTCGGTCAAGTATTCTATTAATAATACATAGTGTAAAAGGCTTTTGCTATCATTGGAAGATACCATAAATCACTTCTTATTTCATGTCATGCAAATAAACATTGGTATCTAAGGCTGGATTCAAGAAGATCTTATTTTTTAAAACTGTATTAATTTTTCTTTACTTTTAGAGGGTAAAAATGTCAACTTTTATAAGACCTTTTCTAAGACTTCCAAAAACCTTGATCTTAAAAAGATGAATAAAATGAAAATTGTTGCATGAAAAAATTTCATTTTCAAAATTCATTTTGATGCAATTCAAATTAATTTTTGGAGTTATCCTTCCTGGCTGAGGATCTGATATCCTTAAATATTTTATAAAAATGTTGTTGTTTTAAATTCAAAATGTGTTTGTGTTAAGTATTATCCTTTGCTACTTGGCATGATCAGGAAACATCGCAAGCATTTGTTTACAAATCAGTATCTAAACAATGGCATAATGATTTGTACGAAAAAAGCCAGTCAGCATTTGACTTAAGGATCCTAAAGATATCATTCATACGGTTTATGCTGACAAAATCATTGTGATCTATAAAACTAACAGAATGATGACTATAAACTTGGCTACATGTAGCTGTTGATAGCGTATACACTGTTAGCTGTTAATGATTAAAAAGTAAAGGATTTTTCATTGTAAATCTAACAGAAAAATCAACGATAATTATGTATTTTTGCAAACATGATTTCTTTTTTCCATATATTTGCTATGTCAAAAACAAATTTGATAAAAAAAAAAAAACGATTAGTAAACATTCCTTCGAAGAAAAGAAAGCGATCCTTAACTATGCGGTAAAGTGAACAATAACATCTCTGTATCGATACAGGATGTCATGTCGACAAGTGAAAATATAAGATAATGTTAACGTCACCGAGGTAGAAAATGAGTGAATGCAGTGTTTCTTAATAAAGTTAAATAGTGGTAAGAAACTTGATATCGAACTGGAATATTTTGTCGACAAAAAATGTAAGTATATATCTTTTCAGTTTTATGCAATTTAAGTTTTATTTAGCTTAAAATATATCTTATCGTATGAAAATGCTGACTAATAAGTTGAAATTAGTTAAATTATCATTTTATTTTTTTTTTCACAGTTTTTATAAGCAATGTGTGCTTTATATATTTCAGGAGGCAGGGATTCGAATTCCTTTCATTCTTACATGTAGTAGCTGTGATTATATTTCATGCTCAAGACAGCTTCATTGACGCTCTTTCTGTATCCAGTTAGTCGCCATATTCTAATTAATTAACAATTTGAAAACTACACATTTTAACAGAACTGATAATTCTTATTGTTTTTCTTAATTTTACCACTTCTGGAAAAAATGATTTGAACATTCTAAAAATAAATTAATGGTCAAATGATAACTTTAATAACTTTTTAACTTTTGATATGAATTCCAGATGGTGTAAGAATAAGCCTGAAAGACCAACGCATAATCACTCACGAAGGGTCAACAATACAATTGAGAGCAACGATAATCTCAAAAAGAAATGAAAGCATAAGTAGCTGGCATTGGTTCCGTAATGAAAGAATGATTCCCAGCAATAAAAGATTTGAGAGCCAGGTGATAAGTAACTACACCCGGGCAAACGAGTCCTACATCGTAATTACTATGGATGTTAAAAGTGTGAAACTTATTGACACAGGTAAGACAAATTTTACGTTTTATTTTGAGGATACAACATCCTCTTGTTTTGAGAGGCTAAGCATGAAGTAGTGGGAAAGACTTCCGTCAGTCATCTTAAAGGATATCCTGTCATTTATCACAAACTACCGGTTGTAGCGAGCGTTTACTCGTATTACATATATGAACAAAACTACTGTTATAACAATTACTTTTAATAAGATGAAAACTTTAAAACTTAACTCGTAAAATTTAATACAGATTGACCTTTAAAAATGTTCCCGCTTACACGTGGACATTTTTCACACAAATTATTGAAGGTTTTCAAAATGAGTAATTTAGGTAAAAAAAAAATGTTAAGGGCAGATTGTACTGACGAAAGCGGCTTATTGACGCTTATGTTTAAGTTAATTTAAAGAAGATTTTCAAAGCCGTGTTGTTTAATTCATTATGTTAACAAATAATTCCACACTTTGGTATGAACCAGTGGTTATTTCTATGAAAGAGGTATTAAATTAAAGATTTTGGTAGATAATTAGATGTATATTATTAACAATTAAAACCTTTCTCAACGTTTTTTATAAATAATGTGAAACGGTTTTAAATGTTTTAAGTACGATGTATCTCCATCCTTCTACCTGACTCGTGTCTGCAATGGGAAACATTTCTTTAATCAAGGAATCACTATCTCGTTAGTATAGTATGCCAGGGCATCAACGATAGTGGAATACATGGGCTAATTTGCATAAAGGTGAAGTTTTTCATATATATTTTTTTTCAATTTAGGCTGCATTAACCCAACCTTATCACTCCAAACATATTTAGTCCTGATCGAATCCGCAATTATTTGACCGCTTTTTCCTCATACAGTACATTTTATGTACAGGTACTCAAAAATGGTTGAAATTGACAACTTAGAATAAGTAATTGCGGGCGTTGTAATAGTTAGGCAAATTATGATAATGTCTGATCCTCCCAAAAAAGACTAGAAAAAGTTTCTGTAAAACAAGACAATCAAAACATCATATGAAAAAGTTAGCAAAAAGGTGGCACATCAAAACAAAATAGGCCAAGGATAGTAGTGAAACAAAATACATGTACATAAAAACAGTTTAAACAAGTCGAGTCAGAACGAATCAAATAAATGATTAACATGACACATTAATACCCATTTTAAGGGGAAGGAGTGCAGGGGTGGAGGAGGGTCTTCAAAACAAACGTGCCTGATGTTAGCGTGGTCAGCATGCGGGTTATCACAATACCACTGAATGACTCGCTGAGCTGACCACGTGACCTTACACCTTTTATTACATGTAATCCATCAACCAAGGCGTGGATCAAAGAATTTTCACAATTTACTCCTCCCGGAAACCTCCAACTAAGTTATTGCATTCAATGCATAAATACAATTATTATTCTAAAAATTGTTGTTTTATGTATTCTTATGCTTATAGGCAAGCTCACCGCAGCTTGTTTTTGCTAATTTTGTATAAATCAAATAAAGCACTTTCATAGAGATGAATAATTCATTTGTTAAAATGATGGTATAAATGTAAACAATTTAACAAACAAGAAGGGGATCAGATTCACAAGCTTTGATTAGCAGTTAAATTGTTTACATTTATACCGTCATATTAATAAATGACATTATTCATCTCTATGAAAGTGTTTTATTTGACTTATACAAAATTAGCAAAAACAAGCTGCGGTGAGCTTGCCTATAAGCATAAGAATACATAAATTCAGATTCTCATCACGGTGTTTATTCAAGCACGTTTGCTCCGTTCTCAATTTGTTTTTTGAATGGAACGTTTGTCCATGATAACCGTTTTATCGTCACATATCATTTTAAAATACATTTTGAAAACCATATCAACAATTTTAAGTCCTTAATAAGTGACATTTTTCAATGCATTAAAAATGTTATTTTTATTCATGAACTTTTAATCCATTTATATATTTTATTTTATTTTCGTTCATACTTTGTGTATTAGTTCGCAACATATGTGTAGATCGATTCCCTTTGAACAGGCAATTGGACAATTAAAGTGATGAGTGCCAACAATCATACAGTTTTTGAAACAGCTTTTGTTACAGGTAAAATGCAAAATCTTTAATTATGCATTCTTGAATTGCATTCAAATACATATATCAGTAGTATTATTTAATATTATCTCTACATTCTGCAAAGGAAATATAAAAAATGAATATAAAATCATTTTTATAAACAAAATCTTCTGATTGCTACTAACTTTGAAATCGTACCGCGTCTGCTCTTGATTCAAAGAGTAAAGAGTCAATCCTTACGGGATTCAATCCAACTGTGGGATGTTAAGACCGATCCTTTGGATGAAACCGCGAAAGCCGAGGTCTAACTAGTTTTGCAGTACATACTGACACATAAAGATCCCTAATTGCTCAATTACGCTTGTTGCAATATTTGCAGCTCTCTGCCAACAAGTGAAGGCAACTGCACATAATAAATGAAAATTATCAAAAGCAACAAACCAAAAAACAAAATACTTAATTCAATTTTGCACTTTCAATCAAATCTGAACACTGGAAAGCTCGAATTTCGTGCTATTCAAGGTACGTAGCCTGCCAAATAAGAGGAGTTGGATCCCTAAAAACAATTTTGAAGTTTCTTTGGCAAGGTATTACAGGTTCCTGTAACTATAATTCCACATCAGAAAGTATTATCTGTTTCGACCAATAAATCTTCAAGATTGTCAATGGCATCAACAGATGACTTCTATTCAGACAAACTGACAGAGATACAAGCATTGAGAGAGCAGAGTGAATTTTTCTGTAAGAGTAATTGAGCAGCGAGTGATATTTTTCGTGTCAACATATAAATAGTTGCAAAACTACATGTTGCTGAACCTCAGTTTATGCAGTCTTATCCGAGAGATCGGTCTCCCCGTCCAACAGTTGGATTCAATTTCTTTCATTTTAAAATGGGACTATTCATTCACTTTATTAGCAGTGTAATAACGATAATAATTATACTTACAGTTATCTATCCGTATAGGATTTCCGAAACATATACTTACATGTACTTCCTTACAATACTGAATTTTAAATATCTGTATAAAAAGATCCCTTTAATAACAACAGGGAAATTATTATAGTGTACTTTAACATATGTTTTAAAAGTATATATATATATATATATATAAAGGGCAGTAAAGAATTGCAAGAACATTGCAAATAGAATTCACACATGTATGAACTTAACCCTTTTGAAGAACATTGTTTAGTATAAAGAGTGAATATTGTATCGAAAATTAATGATGGTTAATAAGATAATATATTTAAAAGACTGTTGTCTGCTGATAAAGGAATCGTTTGTGGCCATTATTTCTCCAAAGATTACCAAATACTTTTTTAAATCCCTCTAGCATATTTATTTCTCTGTCATAAAAATATAATCAAGTATAGTTCATGGCTGTTATCTGCATCGATAAGAAATGATGATGTATTCATTTTTATGTATTTTGCTGCTTGTAAGTGAGAATATAGCCATGAACTTATTATAGTTTCCGTAACATATAACACTAAACATTTTTTTAAAAAAAATGTTTTTTTTTTATTTTGAGCTTTATACAGTGTATGTATTTGGATGAAGCGCTAAGCCAGGTTTATTTGAATAGAAATTTGATATAAACTGTTGTAAACTTTTTTTCATGATATATGTGAAAGCATACAGAATAAAAATGAAATTCATTTATATCATTCTATTTTTATATGATCGTTTCACACAGACCATACTTAAGAGTTGTCGATACTTGGTATTACTTCAGACAGCCATTTTGAATTTTAAAAACTTAACTTACAAATTCGAGTTTTTATCTTTTAATTTCATAATTCATTGTGAATGTGGTATGTGTAAGTCTTATGAAAGCCTCTTGACAGTTATGGACAAAAGAATTTCTATAAGAAATTTTGTTTAAAAAATAGTTTAGGTATTTTTCCCCTAATCGTTTTGCTTTGTAAAATTATACAACTTCAATATAATACTTTGTTTTAACTTAACAATGACTATCTTAAACAGTATTAAGGCTCAAAAACGCTTTTGCTGTGTTTGATAAAAAAAATCTTAAGTATATTCTTTTATCTTTTTGAATTTAATGTAAATTAAATTTTTTTCTTTAAGTTTTCAGTCGACCCGTTCTAAAAGCACAGAGAAGTACATTGGTTATAAAAGAGGGTTCTCCGATATTTCTAGTATGCTTTTGGACAAACAATTCGCATGAAACAGATTTCCCGGTAATAAATTTCAATCCGTCGTCTACTTCACGTGAGTAAGAATGGCATGCACAAGTCTTGATTTTACGAAGAAAAGTTCTTTTAACCTCAAAATAGAAATTTCATGATGGTATTCTTTTCTGTTAAATAAATATAAAATCCCTTTAAATATATATTAAAATTAAAAAAACACACACACACTTCATTTGCATTATCTATTTCTTCCAATCAGCATTTTTTTTTTATACTTTGGCGTAACTGTATGACAAGTTAATTTTGTAATTTAATTCTCGTCATATTTTTTTAGAACTTGGAGATTGGATACTCACAGCCACAACAAATAAGTTTTACTCAGTGTTCATGAAACTTAAATCGGTGGTGTCTGACCGAGGGAGTTACCACTGCTACAGTAATCGGAACGACAGTGTATTTACAAGTCAATCTAGAAGAATTGAAGTGAATATATATACTGCAGGTACATAATTTAACATAAAGATAAGAATCTATTTATGCACTGATGCCGACTAATAATTTACAAAGATTACAAAGTATTTATATACAAAAAACTAAATAATCAAATTTGATGCCATATTGATATCGTCTAAAAACTTAAGCTTAACATGACTCCGATATAGGCATACGCCATACTAGATATCCTATATGTATCTAAGATATAAGTTCTGCTGTATACCTGTCGCATTCGTAACATTTTACCGCTTTATTATGTCGCCCCGAACGAAGTCAGGAGACATATTGCGATTGTACGCGTGTTTTTGTTCTACGGGCTGTTTCTCGGAGATGGCTGGGACAATCTTCCTGGAACTTTCCACAAAGGAGGATCACTGGTTGTAGTTGTATTGTGTGGTCATTCAGTTTCAAAATGACTAATTTTGTCCGCGAGTGTTCTCTCTGGTTCCTTGAACATTCTTAATGAAATTCTATTATGTAATGATTAGTATCTGTAATTGTGCGTGTTGCATTTAAAAATTGCAAATTGTCAATAGTTTCCATAGAAACAGGGGAAAAGTGAAAAAACTTTAACTATAAATTTTTATCAAAGTACTGAAAATACTGATTCGAGTTGATTGATTGTATACTGTTTAATGTCCCTCTCCAGAATATTTCACTGATATGGAGACGTCACCATTGCCGGTGAAGGGCTGCAAATTTAGGCCTATGCTCGGCACTCAGGGCCTTTGAGCAGGGAGGGATCTTTATCGTGCCACACCTGCTGTGACACGGGGCCTCGGTTTATACGGTCTCATCCGAAGGACCGCCCCATTTAGTCGCCTTTTACGACAAGCAAGGGGGTACTGAGGACCTATTCTAACCCGGATCCCCACGGGGAGATTCGAGTTGATGGTTTTCCAAGCTTAGCTAATGGGTATTGTTTTAGTGATGAAAAAATGAAAGTCTTGTCCAGTTCGGGGCGACATACGCTATTGCTTGCAATAGCAGACTTTCTAGTTTTCACAGGAATCGGCTTGGAATTGCAACAGGTGTTCGTGCTCGTTATCTTAATTTGCATTTATTTACTTTTTAGTGCAGTTACGCGTATTTCGTTCTTTGTATACTGCACTGACATGAACAACTGTTGTAAATTTCTTTGGTATAGTTTGCTCCTGTCGTGAAATAAGTACAAACATGTAGTTATTTTATAGTTACCGAGTACTATGTAGCATACGTCCCTCTTTCCAGGCGACAACTCATTACACTGAACAGTGTCTAAATAAACGGCTTATATGGGGACTCTTAGATATGACAACTGAATGAAGGAATATGGCGGACAAATTCATTTTACCAATCATGCCCCGTTTTCAGGACTTTATCTTACTTTTAAAAGCTATAACCATGTATGAATCGTAAACCTGCAATGCTGAAGGAAGAATTTAAGATTTATTAATTTGATTACGAAACACACATTTGCTGAATTAAGCAAAATTAGTTTATACAAATTGTGTTCACATGAAGCTCAAATCTTTTTCAACAGATGACATAGTATGCCAATCGAACGTCGACCAATACGGTATAAACTGGCCTGACACATTTGGAAACACAATATTGAATGGATCTTGCCCATATGGACAAAACGGTAGGTTGTAATACAACAGAATAAAAATCAGGGGATACATATAACTTGATAATTTGATAACCTCTTTATGTCTTTCTGACATCTTCATTATTTTTTTTCTTTCTTATTTAAAACCCCACAAAGATTATTAATTCAACATTATACACATTTGGAAACACAATATTGAATGGATCTTGCCCATATGGACAAAACGGTAGGTTGTAATACAAAAGAATAAAAATCAGGGGATACATATAACTTGATAATTTGATAACCTCTTTATGTCTTTCTGACATCTTCATTATTTTTTTCTTTCTTATTTAAAACCCCACAAAGATTATTAATTCAACATTATACATCAATTTGATTCTTAGTTATATTTTTCGTACATAAATAAACAATTTGAGAAACAGATGGTTACGAACAAAGAAAACGGACAAAAAATGTTAAACAATTATGCCAAGTTTTAAATTCACCAAGTCACAGTTTTGTTTAAGAAACTCTATTGAATTCTTTGAATTCGCCCCTTTTTTTAATTCACCCAATCGAGGTTAGGGCGAAAGGGGCGGAAATAAAAACTGGGGCGAAAATTTCCCTGTATACATGTACAGTAAATACATGTATCTTTCTAGAGTGAAACATTTTGTAATAGTGAAACATGACTCAACTCTTAACAAAAAAAAAAAAAGATTTGTGTATTGATGTTTATTTCTTTAGTCACTGGTTGTGTTATTATTTTGCTAAGGAAACTCATCACGTTTCTGCACTAGTTCTGGAAAGTGGAATTCAACAGACGTTTCCTACTGCTATGATGATAACCTTGATGTCATATCAGAGAGGGTAGATATCTGAGATCGTATTTTTTATTTCCATATAGAATAAATTTTACAATAAAGTTTGACAAATTCTTCACTGATCTTTTTAGAAACTTTCTAAAAATATCTTTCTTTATTAAAACATTGAATATTTTACATAACAAGTTAGATGATATTGACGCCGAGTTAGTTGATGGTACGGCAGACGACACTAGCGTTAGTGAAGTAATTAACAGTACCTTAACTGAGACGGAGGTTGTTACTAGGAGAACAAATAATCCTGGTGATCTAAACAGAACAGTGAATATACTGGAGAGAGTTGTACGCCTTACAAACTACAGTGGAAGCATGGTCAACAATTATAAACGGGTATTTGGATTTAACGATACAAATTTTAAGCTGTTTACATACCCGGTATATTTTTTGGCATTGATCTACAAATAATATATGATGCTTGTATTTGACTCGGATCCTTAATTGCCGATAAAGATATGAGGTCGTTTGTTTTCTTATTTTTAAGTCCTTTTTCGTAACTGTGGACAATTTGTTATCTCCAAGAAATGAGGATGCCTGGACTCAATTATCAGAGGTAAGCTTTCAATCTTTTTTTTCAAACTTGAACTTTAATATAATGCCTAATCAAATGCAGTTTGTATTATTAAACTGAGTCATGAAATCCATTTATCATTATTAAGTAGAATTTGTTTGATTTTTTTCACTGTGGAATCATCATTGTACGTGGATGTCTTGAGTCACCTTAACACACGATTTTGCATCCCTAGCATTTGTTAACTTAAAAAAATGACAAAGACTTGTATTATGTCTATATATTGATTGACTTAAATTCCCCTTTTTACAAAAGAGGCCTGATTTATCTTCTGCTGAACTTGTGATGAGTTTGGTAGATAGGTTCAGTGTTTATGTCCGACAAGGGAGACGGAATTCCAACATTAGTGATAGATTTAATGGAAGCAACTTTGGTAAGAAACGCTTTTTATTGTTTCTTTTATTTCTCGCGAAAACAAATTTCAACAATTTAATTGCAAACAATTCGAGTTTTAAATTTTCTTTTCTTTAGAAGTGAAACACGATTTACTAGATTCAATACAAGACATCACTTTTCCTGAAGAGACTTCAGAAGAATCGTTTCTAATGCTGCCTCAGCAGGATGTAAATGTTACAGGTATAGTTTGACTATAATTCCAAAAAATAGTACCATCGCAAATAATCTACATAAACTTCAAAGACACACGCAGGAGATCAATCTAATACTTTGAAAATTTAATAAACTTATAAATACAAATGTATGCTTAAATACGTCTGTTTGGCTGCAAGATGTAAAACGGTGCTTGATTGGGTAGAAGACCATTATCCTTGTCATTGCCCTATCTTGAATCCCAAATCATCCATTCCACATTCTCAACACCGCACGCTACCTAACCCCATCCCAATCAACATTAAGGATCAGCACTATAAGTAGGGAGGTTTGTTGGATAATGATCAAAATTAAATCTTTTAAAGGAATAACAATATTGTTCTCAAAGTCTATATATGGACTAAATCCAAGTTTTCTGTAGATGATGATGTACTTAACCATCTAAAGGAGGTAACATTGTTTATATCCATATAACATATACTGAAACGAACATGGTAATTTTGGAAACTTTTTTATCAAATATTTGTTCAAAACAATGTTATAAATAGTATATAGAACATTAAAAAATTCATGTTTTAAGGTAAGTCACTCGTCAGTTTTTTAGAAAAGTTCACGCAGAAGCTTTTACTTCAAAACTACTTATTAAAATTCAATTTTTATAACATATTTAAATTCAACAATGTAATTTTTTTAACATTCAAAGAAAAAGCTGCTCAAAATTTTACAAAGAAGCAAGATTTATGAGGGACTATTTCTTTTGGTGGAAGGATATTTAGCAGAAAATTCTGCAAATCTGCACATTTATAAAATTTAATGTAATGGAAATTTAGCCTCACATACTTTTACTCGGAGAATATTTTCCGTTTTGATATTGCTAAAAATATTTAATATAGGTCTTAATTTATATTTTTAGACCAAGTTTTACACCTTCCCTCAACAAACTTTTCCAAAAAATGAAAATATATTAAAGAAGTCAAGATCAAATTTACACCATTTTTTGCCTGAAAATCACATATTTTGACAAATATTTCAAAATTAACATCACTGACCCCACCTTTTTCTTTCATTATTTTAAACTACTCGATACCTGTGACTGATCAGCTCTTAAGTCGTGAAAAGTTTGATATAAGAAAATTTTTTATTGCCTATGAAATTTTTTAATACCCCAAATATGTTATTTTTTAGTGCAAAAAGGTCATACAATGATTTACGCGCATTAATTTGCAAGATTTGTTTAATTATAAATATTATTCAAACTATTTTACGTAAAATAAGATTATATTTATTGCCATGCTTACATCTGATCAAATTTAATAAGGGTTAAAGTAATTAACCAAAGAGATGAAATTTAAGTGCAAAAAGGTCAACTTAAATGTACCGTAAATCAGTAGGATGCACACTGGCCCCCTATTTTCTTTGCAATTTTGAGTTACACTTTATGAGTACTTATCCAAAATATACTTCTCAAAAAATCCTTGATATAACAAATTTCAGGAGTGACTTACCTTAATTTTGAAAGACATTTATGTCGCTGTCTACTCTTTTTTTTAGGAAATTCTTATACGGCCGTTATATACAAAAGAATTGCAAATATACTTCCTACAAAACTGAGCAACTCCTCAAAGTAAGTCGAGTAAGCCATTTTTAAAAATTGTTCATACGTAGAGCATGCGTTTGCGTATAGAATCAACTGAGAGATATGAAACCTTTATACTGGCGCTGAAGGTATACTGCCGCATAAGTAAGTGATGTTGTCAAATGAAAAGTTATTCATCTCGTGTGTTATAAATCTTAGTTGTTAGATTACCATTACTGTCCTTTTCAAGTAAAATATCTAAATGAGAAGCAGGTGTGTCAGACTCTATGGTATCTTTTATTTTAAGCTCACCGGGATATATCGTATCTACAAAAGAATGAAAATAACCATTGTTAATTGACAATACGTCGTCCATATATCTAACTGTCGAGTTGAAGGCCACAGAAAGTGTTCTCTTCATTTCACGTATATAAGTTTAGATAAAATTCTGCTTCATATGAATGTAGAAATAGGTCTGCTACAAATGAGACGCAATTGGTACCATGAGATTCCAATAAATTGTTGAAAGAGTTGATCTCCAAATACTACAGATATTGTCAATCAGAAACACAAGAAAATTTTAATATTAACTTCTTAGTACTTGTGTGTATAATCATGACTAATGCATTAAATATATCTTCTTTTAGAAATCGTTTTACTTTATTTTGATAATTTCTTGAAAGAATAAATCATCTCTTTAAAACCCTTTAATGTCTGAGAGTGCTAATATTAAGGTTTCACCAAAGGTCAGCATGTCCAAAAATTTATATTTACAATACCTCCAAAACTATATGATTTATAATGTTAAAACTTTTACAGTTTATATATATATCATTGATTAACAGATGGAAAGTATCACTTGATAACAAATACTTAAAAAAGAATATTTATCTAGAAAAATTCTTTTTAAAAAATGCATATACTTTTACAAAATACACCTAAGTACATCCGAACTTTTAGTGAAATTCATCATTGCAGAAACAAAATATGTTTATCAATGAAGGGCAAGTAGGACTTCGATAGCCTATGGAAAGTTGTTTTCCCTATTTATTTTGTCCAAATGTTAAGGTTTGAAACCGAAAGTACAATGCAAATGGCGGATTTTTATAGGGTCTTGTTTTTATACATATCATGCTTTCAATAACAGCCTTTCAGAGATCATTCACGTCCAACTTGCCCTTCATTGATAAACATATATTATTTCTGCAATGATGGTTTTCACTAAAAGTACAGCATTAAACATGTGCATTTTTAAAAAAAAAAGATATGCAAACTTTTTACTAATTTTTTTTCTTTTCAAATCATTTTTTTTTTAAATATTTGTTTTCAAATGACACTTTCTATCTGTAATTCACTGAAATATTTATACATTGTAAATGTTTTAACTTTACACCTCACATAATTTTGGAGCAATTGTAAAAATAAATTTTTGAACACGCTGACCTTTGGTGAAACCTTAACTTAAATAGTCTGTAAAAGTCATTTCAACAATACATAATACGAAATGAAAAAATATTAAACAAATCATTTTCATCACATAAAAATGCTGCTATGGGATTTTTAGAGCTAGGATGACCATGAAAGCGCCTGTTGTCAACACACCAATACTGTCATTTACACTGAACACGGTTCCTGATATTTTGTCTCCTCCACTGACACTTACATTTTCACCTATGAATAAGGTATATTCACCATTTCTTTTGTCATTTTAAACATATAAAAAATATAACTAAATCGATAGACTTTTAAAAAAAAAAATTAGAAAGTTCACAAAATTTCTTTTTTAGAATAATAAAACAGCCTGTATTTATAAATCACACTAACCATAGACATCTTGTTCAGACAGGTGACATATCGTCCTCAGTTTGTGTCTACTGGAACTTCTCCTCAAGGTAAACATGGCACAATAAAAATTCTTGCTAATCAGAGTTGTTATTAATTGCACAGATGTGATGGATATTTTTTTCGATTTTTTTTTATAAAAAGATAATCCAATCTTAACTTTTTACAATGATCTTTCAAATCTTTTTTTTTCCTTAGCAAAATTTAATTACGTTTTAATTTTTTTATATTGTTCGTGAAGCAGTTCATACTTAATATGCATTCATGATTTATAACCTTGTTTAAGAAATGGACTTGGAGGCTGGGATACAGATGGATGTGACCTTACACAATCTACTTCCAACAAAATTACCTGTCAGTGTAACCATCTTACAAATTTTGCTGTTTTGATGAGTTTGGATACAGATGTAAGTGGATAACACTTTATGTTTTTTAACGAAGTCTAGAAATGAAATATTTTTCCTAATAGGTTCTTTTCATTGACATTTTATATTTCTTACATATTTATAAAATTATCTCCAAATGATAAATAAATTTTAGTCAATAGAGAAAAAATGCTGTATTTTTCTTAGAAATTTAGTCATAATTGTCTCTCATTTTTCAATTTTTGTTTGTTCATACAATCTATTTGGGTACAAGTAAATTCATTTTATTCTATCATTTTAAAATTAATTTCAAGTGAAAAATTGTTTTTACTTTATTGAAGGTAGCAGATGCAGAATTTCTCTCTACAATTTCTTTGATAGGAAGCTGCATTTCAGTTATATTTGCATCATTGACTGTGATAATGCATATCCTAGTTTGGAGGTAATTATTTTTTTCTGAACTAAATAGTTACATTCATGAAAAAAGATTCGTGAAAGGTTCAAATTGTTGAGAAACTTAGGGCGGTTTTTTTATAAACTATTTTTTATAAGAGCTATAGCATAACATGTTTTCCTTAAAAAAATCTAATATTTAATTTAATGTAAGGTGGTCGTTATGAAATGATTGAATTTTATAGATATTTAAAAAGTGAAGTGGTCATCTTATTGATGAATCTATGTGTGGCATTGTCCATCTCCTATCTGCTTTTCATCGTGGAGACATATGCATCAGTTAATGAGGTTTGTATTATTTTCGCTCAACTAAAAAAAAACATTACAAAGAAATCAACCTTGTTGATGTGAGTTTTTTCATTTTTAAGTTCAATAATTTTCATTTTAAGGTGATTTATGTTGACATCATTGTCGTAGATAATTTAAAGATATTCTTAGGGATATCATTACTTAGTATATTTAATTATCTTATTCAAAACAAACCCCATTGACATCAATGTGTATGATATATATTCAACAAACTCAAAGATAATATATCAGTACCTGGAAATGAATATTTATATGAAATTGATTAAATAAAACACTTAAAAATTCCAAATATGAATAATTTCAATTGACTTGTTTTCCATACCACTGTAATCTGTGGCTTTTTTATGAAGTTTTCAATATTTGAAAACTTAATCAAAAAATATAAGAAAATGATTAAGCCTCACAACATTGCAATTGTACAATTTCAAAAATACTGAAATAAAAAAACCTTTTCTTCCAGAGACGCTAGCCTATCATTTAGCAATACTCCTTTGACAATTTTAGATTGCCTGCACAGTAATCACCTTTTTCCTGCATTCAATGCTACTGGTCATGTTTAGTATGATGCAATGCATTGGTATATATTATTTCCGGAATATTGTCATCGCTTCGATTTGGCTACGTCTAGCGAATAGATTTTCAAGAAGATCAAATATGCCCTTGTTTATGGGTTTCGGCTGGGGTAAGTTTCCGATATGTTGCGTTTTTTACCGACTGATGTTTATTCGTATGTTAAAGAATAGAATTTAAATTAACAAAATTGATTTTTGTTTCAATAAGATTAATTATTGTGTTGATCTTTTTTCAATACTTTTTAGTCAGCTTGCAATTACCCTGTATTACTCCTCTATTTACAGGAATACCTTTTGCTATATCTTTAACAACGCTTGGAATATTCTTCCACCAAACATATCATTTATCAAACCAGTAAGAATTTTAATTGAGACAATTATGGATGTTAATTGGATGTTAATTATCCAGGATCAACAAGGTGTCAAGATACCGGTATTAGATTTGTTAAAAAGCGTAGGTCTTTGGATTAGTAAACACATTATTTATTAAAGATTATATTCGTATACATAATTATGTATAAACTCACTGCTTCGAAACATGGATTTTGCCCACATAGATATTTGTCTCATTTGACATTTTATTTAATCTCCATGTATTAAATTTAGTTTCCATATATTAAAATTAATTTTGACTTTTCTTTTATTCTTCGAAAAACTTCTTAATACGTGTTTTAACAATTTTACAAATACATCCAGTCTCGTTTAAAGTTATCTTTTTGTAAGTTATATGGTCGATACAATGACCTTGTCAGCAGATACATTAATCATTAAGTCATATGCAGACTCAAGTTTGTAATACTAATTGTTAGGCCAGTATTAACACAATAAGTGAAGGCGAGTTTTTCCATTTTTCCCCGATCATGACAAAGCCTTGGTCCATAAAACTTATGACGAGCTCACATTTGATCTGGTTCACTTTAACCAATGAAATATATATCGGTAGTGAAAAAGTGAGACTGAGATCAAAAATAAAGCTCGTCTAAGTTTAATGGCCCCCTGCCTTGAGCACACGGCGAGTGTAACCGGTCGGCAGGGGATGCTCACTCCTCAATGACACCTGATCATATCTATGATGTTTTATTGGTCCATATTTGGTCTGCTCCTGATTTGTACTTATTAATGAACTTTAAAGCCTGAATACTATTCGTTATCTCCATTAATGTCATTCATGAACTTTAAAGAACGACATTTTTATTTTATTTTTTTTTTACAGCTGCTGGCTTTCTGTTGAGACTGGGTCTATTTATTTCTTTGTTGTTCCTGTTTGTCTGGTGATATTTGTAAGATTTTAACTAAAATCAATAAATATTCATCATATATAATATACTAATATATAATTGATTATAAAAACTGCTCTTTATGAATCCGTTTGAATTAACAATTTGTCTTTGATCTTTCGAATAACGAAAGGGGGTATGTCTTATATTTAAAATTTTTAATTTCTTTCAGATAAATTTCATTATTATTCTGGCTTTATTGAAAGTGTCGTTAAGTCGAATGAAAGGATATGCGACACAGACATCACAAAATCCGGAAACTATAGGCATTTCAGCTAAAGCCCGGTTGGTATTTTTAACTCAATCTAAAACCAGACTTTCAAAGTCAAATATTCAGGTACTGTTCCTCCTCTTACTTGTGTGTGGAGTACCTTTACTGCTATAAAAGGGGAAGCTGTAGACTTGTTCCATTTATTCGTCGATATAAAGCAGAGTTACATTCACAATGACCTTTAGTTTACTTGCCTTTTCTTTTTATCGAATGGGTAAAAATTCCTTTAAATGTTTTTTCCGTAAATTTTAATCGCTAAAATGTCTCACTAATTTAGCGAATTCTTCAGGAATATTCTAAATATATTTTGGTGATAATCACAATTCCTAAGAAATTCACGTAATATAACACCTATATAACAATTTTATAACGCATAATTTGTAAGTAGTTATGAACATGTATGCCGTTAGTAGAATTTGGAAGTTTTTCCCCTTCAAAGCAGTTAGGTCACACGGAGAGGAATCCATAAGAGAATCTGAGATGGATGATATTTTGTGATGCTCCTTTTGTTATCAACTTTTTACTTGTTTAACTTATAAATTCCATATATGAATCTAAATCTTCTATTGTAAGACACTTTGCAAATATGCTGTACTTTATATAAGTGCTTTGACATGCATATTAAATGTATATATATGTATAGGGTGTGTAAAACGTATATCTAGTCTAATAATCCTTCTTTATCATTTTGTATGTCTTTTTAAAAAATGAAGTGTTATTCATGATTATTAGGTTTATTGAGTATGCAGAACTATAAAAAAAAATGCGTGTTGAAGATAAAAATGTCATGCAATATTTTCAGTGAAATCAAGTTAAATAATTTACTCGTCATATTTTTTAAATTAATTTTGTAAAATTATGCTTTTTGAATATTTAATCGTAGAATGGCTTTGAAAAACTTTGGAGTCCTTGTTCCAGTTCTTGGTGTTACCTGGGTGTTTGGAATTCTATCGATAAATGAAAATACAGAAGTTTTCCAATATCTCTTCACCATAAGCAGTTCTCTACAGGTAAATATGACTTGTACATTGCATCGGTAAGCACGCTTAAAACGAATTACTACTTACAGCAAATCTATTTTCTTTCCCCATGGGTTAATATATATATATATATATATATATATATATATATATATATATATATATATATATATATATATATATATATATATATATATATATATATATATATATATATATATATATTGTGAAAAACGGATATAACAAATTATGCTGATAACGAAGCAAATTCAAAATGTCTGTACCTAGCTGGCAATTTGCTGTAAGCTTGTGTTAATTTACTGAACTTGGAGGAATATTTTATTTTAAAATTCTATTAAGGAAAAAGAAATATTTTCTGTGGTCTTAACTTCCACATTCAGGTATATTGAATGTGACCTTTTATAAATCAACAACAAAAAGATTATTTCTACTTTGATTCAAAGTACACATATGAAAATATCAATCCTTCTGTCTTTCGAAAATACAGAAGTGAAAAAATAGATTGATATTAAACCTCAGACTTTTTGACACAATGAAAGCAATATTTCAATAAAAATCACCCTTGTAAGTGTTTTTATATACGTTGTCATTGGTCAAAAATATTTTTCTAAAACAACTTTCTGATAGGACACACAAATACTAGTTTTCCGAAGTGTATAATTTCAAGATTCTTGAGTTTATGGTTGATAATATCTAATATGGTCTTTAGAGGGCGGTTCTTCAGACAATGTATCGAAACTCCCATCGACACTGATACTATTACATTATCAGCATATTAAAAATTATATTCGTATAAAGGAGAATTTATTATAAACTTTATACACAAGAAAAGTATACTTGCAATTACCTTCGAGTAAACATTAAAATAAATCAACGACATATCTTCTATTTACACTAGTAAGTTCAATTCATATGCCGGCACGATAAATAAAAATATTCCTTCACTACCTTCACATGTAGTTTGTGTCTCCCAGTAAATTTGATATGCAATAGCCTACTATACGTATCAACAATACCAAAACGAGGCAAGCTATTGACAAACAAATTGATGAAAGAACAGTTTTTTTTCTGTTGAAGCTTTGTATTAAATTCTGCTTTATAATATAAAACAGGTTGGCTTATAAGGGAGCGTTATGAAACACGGACAATATTATCAAAATCAATTGTATATACATGTATGTATTTCTAATAATATTGCAACTATAATTGCCATTCTTTTTTTCGTGTTTTTGGTGCTTAGAATTTAAAAGGACATGATTACGGTATTCTTTAAAGACAAGGGTAATATTGTTCATCTCTTTTAACATCCATGAGTAATTATTCAGTTATTGACATTTCCAATTTTAGCCCATTTGATCAAGGCTTGTGTGTTTTCTGATCAAAATTTGTCCGTTGTCTGTCGTTGTTGTTGTCGTTGTCGTCGTCGTCGTAGTCGTTGTCGTTGTAAACTTTTCACATTTTTATCTTTTTCTCGAGAACCACTGGGCTAATTTTAACCAAACTTGCCACAAAGTATCCTTAGGTGAAGGGGATTAATTTTTTAAATGAAGGGCCACGCCCTTTTCCAAGGGGATATATATATATATATTATATATAAATATATATATTTATATAATATATATATATATATATATATATATAAAGATGAAACTCATGTGAAAGCATCCTTAGGTAGTGTAGATTCAAATTTGTTCAAATCATGACCCCCAGGGCAAGGGTGGGGCCAAAATGGTGTTCAAGTTTTACATAGGAATATATTTGAAAAATCTTTTAAAATCTTCTTCTCCAGAACCATTGGGCCAGGAAAGATGAAACTCATGTGGAATCATCCTAAGGTAGTGTAGATTCAAGTTTGTTCAAATCATGACCCCTGGGGCAAGGGTGGGGCCAACATGGCCGCCTCACGGTTTAACTAGGCATATATAGGAAAAATCTTTAAAATCTTCTTCTCCACAACCACTGGGCCAGGAAAGATGAAACTCATGTGAAATCATCCTCAGGTAGTGTAGATTCAAGTTTGTTTATCATGACCCCTGGGGCAAGGGTGGGGCCAAAATGGCCGACCCAAGTTTTACATAGGAATATATAGGAAAAATCTTTAAAAATCTTCTTCTCCAGAACCACTGGGCCAGGAAAGATGAAACTCATGTGGAGTCATCCTCAGGTAGTGTAGATTAAATTTTGTTCAAATCATGACCCCCGGGGCAAGGGTGGGGCCAAAATGGCCGACCCAAGTTTTACATAGGATTATATAGGAAAAATCTTTAAAAATTTTCTTCTCCACAACCACTGGGCCAGGAAAGATGAAACTCATGTGGAGTCATCCTCAGGTAGTGTAGATTCAAGTTTGTTCAAATCATGACCCACGAGGCAAGGGTGGGGCCAAAATGGCCGACCCAAGTTTTACATAGGAATATATAGAAAATCTTAAAAAAATCTTCTTTTCCACAACCACTGGGCCAGGAAAGATGAAACTCATGTGGAGTCATCCTCAGGTAGTGTAGATTCAAGTTTGTTCAAATCATGACCCCCAGGGCAAGGGTGGGGCCAAAATGGCCGACCCATGTTTTACATAGGAATATATAGGAAATATCTTTAAAAATCCTTCTCCAGAAACACTGGGCCAGGAAAGATGAACCTCATGTGGAATCATCCTCAGGTAGTGTAGATTCAAGTTTGTTCAAATCATGACCCCCGGGGCTAGGGTGGGGCCAAAATGGCCGACTCAAGTTTTACATAGGGATATATAGGGAAACCTTTTAAAATACTTCAAAGCTATGATTAGTGATATTTATATGGAATCATCCTCAGGTAGTGTAGATTCTAGTTTGTTCAAATGATGAACGCCTGGAAGGGGGGGGGGGTTCATCTCTTTTAACATGATGTGCTCAGGTGAGCGCTGTGGCCCCTGGGCCTCTTGTTATTGTAGGGTCTTCTTATTTTCATCATACATGTTCCTTTGAATAAAAAGGTAAAAACATTAAAGCATTTTCTTTTATTTTTCCATTTTTATCAAATGTTTGGTTCAATCCCTCACTGACAAAATAACTCCCCTTCTTCAGTGGAAAAATTTAATTTATTCGGTGTGTTTAATCTACATAGTTACGAGATGCCTATAAAAAGAAGTTCAGATTCCTGGAGACTTCCTCGAGCAGCCACAAATCCACAGGGTCCAGTAATCAGACAGCTGAACAGAAGATAACCACAACTGTACAAATGTCTCAGGTAAACGTCATCTATAACACAGCGAATACTTAACTTGTAAGGGTCAGTGGAATGTTTTGTTTTGTATTTTTCAAGAGGGGTAGGGGAATCGAAAGTAAGATTTTTTTTTATTTTTAAAAGACTGAAAATGATGGGATTTTGTTAATTTTTAAAAAGCAATTATACAATATTTAATAATTGTTAAATGTCTAAAACCTATATATCAAAAGATATATATTTAGCTTTATATAATAATAGTTGACTGCCTCCTCTTACTTACGCGAAGTAACATTTTTTTCTCATATACTTTTCAGGTATCAGACAAACCGAAAAAACATGAAGGTATTTTTTTTTTAAATCTTATGGTTGTATCTCATTCATTTTCTCATTACAACAAATGAAAAGAAAGAAATTAAATCAGTGAATATTATTCCATTGCATATAAAACAGATGTAGCTGGGGATGGAATGGTCCGAATCTCAAAAATCGTCAACGACTGGACACCACAAGACCAGGACAGTTGTGAAGATTGCAGGCAAAAAAAAGCTATTTCAAGGACAAATGAACCGTGCAGCAATTCGTTACCTGTCTCTGAAGTGTTTAATTCTCTTTTATATATATATATATAAAATATATATGTATATATATATATATATATATATATATATATATATATATATATATATATATATATATATATGTGTGTGTGTGGATAAAAAACTGTGTTTGTCTGGATTCAAAAGGGTAGGGAAACAATGTGTGTGATACTTCACGTTCTAATTTCATTCTACAATCCGAGTTGATATTATAAAATAAATGTTATTCATCTAGATATATGTAAAAAAAAAAAAAAACAAGTTAGATTTTTTAAATTTCATAATACATTAATTTCATCTAATAATAAGTTGTATTTCATTGAGTTAATTTGAAACTAACACATGCTCAAATCTAGAGTTTTCCGTGAGGTAGTTGTATATTTATTGTAATATTACATTAAAAATATTTTATGTGACCACTTGAACACTTTCTGAGATGTTGCTTTTACGACGAAGGAAATCGAAATTAAAATGCAATAATCATATACTTTTTAAATATATAGATATCAAACTGAGTTTCAAAATAATATTGTAAGTGCAATACAATGTCTGGTATGCTAAGAACTGGTTGTGTCTGTCGTACACGTGTCTCTTTCCCAAACCCATTACGTTAAGGAGAAAATATATGAAGTCAAACAGGGGACAAATATCCATGTGGTTTTATTTATTCTTGTATGGTTGATGCATTTGCAAAAGATTTGTTTTGGTTACTGTCTCTTTGCATATAATAATTATTTAAATGCACCATTAAGACCACAGCCCTGCAAACCTATTCAGAAACGCCCCTTTCGACTTTTTGCTTTCTTTAGAAGGTAAGCATACAAACAGATATACATTGTCAAATTAAGGCATTTCATGCATTTTTTGCGACAACATATTTTTGAAGCCATTTTTGCAAATATATTTTCGGCATTTACTTTTAAATATTAAATTATTTTTTTTCATCGTTTAAAAGTTCTTCGAATTAATTTTTCTATACAACAGTTACAATTCATTTGCAATATGTACACTTATTAATTAAAAATTTGAAAACCATACACTTACCATTTATCATTTTTGACTTATAAAGAGAATGTTATAACTACATGTAAGATATATAGGATTTTTTTCTCTGCAAAAACGCTACGAAATATCGATTTTAAAGGTAGCAAACCAAACAAAATAATAACCATGCTCAAGAAAAGTTAAATCCAGTGTCATAAAAATGAGTCTTAGACTTAAAAGCTTGAGAAGCTTTTGTTGTCAAAGTGATAAAACACAATCTTAGTAAGTTTTTTTTTTTGTTATTTTGGTACGTAATATTGCATATTAAATAGTTTTCAGATTTTTTCTCTGATTTATTTTGCACAATATTGAGTTTTTTTTAACAGAAAAAAAAGACTATAGCCGCTCCAGTGCATGTGGTACTACTCATATACATTAAAGTATTTTAAATCTTAGGAACAGATTAAATTTACTTATTTATTTAAGTCTCAACAAGCCTTTCACAATTAGAAATTTAATATACAGCTCATAAAACAAAGCACAGTTACCAGATCCAGGATTGAAACGAACCACTTTGAGGGATTCCAACAGTTTTGCCCGTTATCCTTAAAAATCCTGAATTTATAAAATTATACTGCTTGTTTAAGCAATAACAATATAAACAATAGATTGAATGACAAAGAACTATTTCTAATGACATGAAAGTTAAAACAAGAGGTTCATGGGTCACATGGCTCACCTAAATGACTATGACTTTGTTGTTTTCTATCACCTGATATTCCCGCTATAAATGAAAACTGATTTTGGTCCTACCCTATCTTGTGTGTTATGAGTTGAACAAACTTAAATACATGCTACATGTACTTGATTATCTTTCTCTAAAAAGATAATCTCTGATATACAGTTCGAAGCAGAATTATAAGAAAAAATATATTCCTTTTTATTCTCATGTTCAACTTAAAATGTCTATGGGGGCCCCACAATAGCCTAAACACGCTTTAAGCTTCAGAAGTTTTTACAAAAGTTTCATCTTTTCTGGCCCAGTGTTTATTGAGACTATCTTGAAAAGACAAAAAAGAATGTAGTTATTCATTTAAAAAATTGAAACGCCTACATCGATGATGCCCTGTTTTAAATTAAGTTTGGTTAAAATTGGTCAAGAGAATTTGGATGAAAGGGAGAAATTGTGAAAGTAAACAATAAGACCAAAGACAACGTACCACAGACATCAGACAAATTTTATCAGAAAAAACTCACTTAAGCCTCCAACTCAGGTGAAATAAAATGACATGCAAATAGTTTGCCCTTTAAAAATTAAAATTTATCACAGATATGGGTGCTCTCTCTCTCTCCCCCCTCTCTCTCCACCGCAAGCTTACTGACTTTACAAAGGTTTACATTTTCTTCTACCATTCAAACAAAACAATTAAAAAATATCATAAAAATAATGATAGAGATATGAAAGCTGCCTAATGAAGATAGTGATAAGTGCATCATAATTAATAACTATGCATTTAGTTTGATGATGGTAAGTTACGGCTTATGAGGACATTCGATTCTGTTAGGCTAATCACTGTCATGACTGTCAATTTCAGAAAGCAGCTTTGTATCAGCCATGCTATGTTTAATGTCCTCAGCATAAGTCACACTTCCAGAAGTCACTTGATCTTGGTCACACGTGTTCGACTGTATACCCATTATGTCTTCATAAGTTATCAATGACGATATTTCTTCTTCCTGTAAGAGTAGAAACTTTGAAAATGAAATTTATTCTAAATACTTATGTCATGAACAATAATTTTCAGCTTTCATCATAAAATGTTTAAATGATCATTACATGTCATTTAAGGCAAAAGACTTACATTAAGAATTCTATTAAGTTCTTCCACAATACCAGTAAAATTAGGGCGGATGTCCGCATCAACTTGCCAGCAACGTAACATCAAGCCATAACTGAAGATAAAAGATAATTTAAAGATATGCATTATTTATAACCTCTTAATGTGTCTGAAATTACAATAATCAACCCTTAGAAGTTAAGTAGATCTGAAAGTGAAAATATTCAAGTATTGAAATCTTACATTTGATATGGACATAAAGGAGGTTTCTCGAGTCTCCCTCCTCCCTTTACATATTTCATAACTTCACCATTAGATTTTCCGGGATATGGCACGTGACCCATTGAAAACAGCTCCCATAAAACTACACCAAATGCCCTTAAAGATGATCAAGCTTAATTAAAAACAAAATCATACAATATTGCATATATTCTAGAATTTTTTATTGTAATATGTGAACCTTTTCATTGGTATCTAAATGTGAAGCACATACCACTTTCAATAAAACAAGCCATAAGCCCTGATTAGCACAACAATAATAACTGGATTTTTTTTTCAAGTTGATGCCTTTCTAGGTGACAAATTATGAAATTGATTTCATTTTGAGTGCTAATGCTAACATAGTTATACAGTTTATACGAACCAGACATCAGTTTTAGACGTAAATATCCCGTCAAGAAAGCTTTCTGGGGGCATCCATTTCACCGGAACCATTGCTCGGCCATTTTTTCTGTAGTAATTGGTTCTAAAGACAAGAATTTTTCCACTGATACCATTGAAACATTATAATACATTGTCGTATAATATGATGCAGTTTAAGAGAACTGGGATATTTATGCATAATTATTTGTATTTTAAAAGCCATTCTATTGATTACAGTATATCTTTTGTAAATAAACATAATGACAATACCTTAGTACATCCCTTGCCATTCCAAAATCACCTATCTTGGCCACACGATTGGGACCTTTTTCAGTCAGAAGACAGTTTCTTGCAGCAATATCCCTAAAAAAAGTCAGAAATTGAACGTTTTTCTATCCAATTCTTCTCATGTTTTTAAGATATTAATAATCAAATTACTTCCAAGATATGAGGCAGTAATTATAACTAACCGGTGAATGAATTTGTTTTGTTCTAAGTAGTGACAACCCCTGGCTACATCTATTCCTAACTTCAGTAGATCATGTAAAGTCAGATAGGATGGCTCATGAGGCTGGAACAAAAATAAAGGTCGCCTTTGAATAAATACTAATTTTTATTTCTCAAGGAAATACAAAAAAGTAGGAAATAAAATTTTATTTCATTAATTTTCCCTGAAAATATTTTAACAGGTCTCATGCTATTTTAATTGAAATTGTGCAGTTTCCAAATAAGAATCCAATCATTTTAGACCATCTATTTGGAACTCATTTCTACCTGCTTTGGTCTTGATTCCCTTATAAAGGTCCTGAGTTCTCCGCCCTCCATTAATTCCAGCAATAGATACATTGAGCGATCATGATCATCAGTAGAGATTCCAAGAAAGCGAACGATGTTTGGGTGGTTAAATTTACTAAAAATATAATTATAATAATAATAATTAAGCATTCTTTGATTTATTTTTCGTACTTTTAACTCTCTAAGCATTTAAACTATATGTACACATATAATCTAGTATTAGTATCTGAAACTAAAATTAAATAAAAGCTTTTCAAATGTAGCACTGTTTATTTTTAATCAAGTTTTCTTCTGTGTCTATCTCACCTTAAAGTTATAGCTTCGAAAAAAAGCTCTGCTTTAGTTTGTTCGGCACATAAAGTTGGTAATTTCTACAAACAGACATTATCGCATAAATGTCAGACTTGTCTCACATTTCCATCAGTAATTCAATGAAACAGAATAGAATGTGTAGCCTAAAGAGACAAAAACTAGTTGTTGACTTTACTAAAAGACGAATGAGATATCGCATTACCTTGACAGCTATTGGTAAATCCCTTCTAAGACGCGATACGTCGGCTAGTATTCCGTAATAGACCTCTCCGAACGCACCCTTACCGAGAAGTCTGCAAGATAAATTGTGTGTTTAAACAAGGAAACTCATTGAATTTTCTAATTCATTACAAAATTACATAATAAAGAAGACTGATGGCTATAACCATGATAACACGATTGTCATTTTCAAAATCTTGAATATCTCGATTTCCCTCATTTCTGGAAAGTAAAAATGCTTGTTTTGAAGGCTTATGAATCAAAATCAAAATTTCCCCCAAACAATAAGAGTATTTCAGAACTATCCTCAACATATAACTTGCCTAACAAGTTTGATATTCTTTCTAGGTATATCTCTAATCTTGTCCTCGGTCCACTCGTAGTATGGCGAGATATGAGACACAGCCAGATTACTGGGAACGAGGCTGTGGTGCTCGCTGTCACCTGACGACGCGTCAGATATGTCTACCGGAATAGAACACTTCCCGTCTATCCCGGTGGAAGTTGTAGATGTTGACACCGGAAGTATATTCCGAAGACTTTCATCCTTGAGATTTCGCCTCTTCTTGAAAACTAATGAAATAGATTAAGTCAGTGAAAGTAATAAAATGCGCAGTTGAGTTTAATTAGAATAATTCTAATCTCCCGGTCATACTGTATCATGATTTCTTTCTTTGCACATGGGTATGCTATATTTATTAAAAATGCACAGTCGTTATCGAAAAGTTAATTATAAATTATACATGAATGGAAGATGGCAGTATCTATTAAGTGAATTTCCATCGAATTTTAAAATCTATTTTATAAATTTATAAATTTAAATAATTTACCTGAGAATATGATCACAGCAGTAACCATAGCAACGACAATACCAGCCCCAATACCGAGAATTGTCAGCATATAACTAGAACTGTTATCTACCTCCACCTGAGTAGACACTAAAACAAACACATTATACACTTCAAAAAAATTAATATATATCAAAATCAATATTCTAAATTGGCGGAGGTCAATATAGTCAAAAACATTAATGGTAAAATAACCTAGCAAAAGAAGTCTTTCTTATAATGGTAATGACTAGGTTAACTTTTCAAACGTCGACTTCCCCAACTTAGATCATGTCTCTTAGCTGATTTGCTACACAAGAACATGTTTTACGTAAAAACATTTCTAAAAACGACACGTCTTAAGTTATTGACAAATTTATGAAACAAACAAATTCAGTGAACGATCTTCTTTAAAGTCATTATTTTGCAAGATCTCTGGTCGATATTTACTGAGTTTGTCAGCAAATCTAATCTATCATTAAATTAAATTGTTTTTACCATAAAGCTTGGTACAGATATTACCAAATTAAATTTCAATTGTCTTCAGAATTTTCCGTTATATCCCTATAGTGATAGGGAGCACACGGCGGATTTAACTAAGGATGCTCACTCCTTTGAGACACCTGATCCCACCTTTATAAGAGATATTTTAGAGGTCCGTAATAGGTCTACCCTTCATCCATATTGTTTGGATGGATTTTTGATTTTGAATACTCATTTTTATCTTCATATCTCTCGGCCGCGACTGACCTAAGTCGATAAAAAATGGGTAGCAACTGTTCCTTCGCCATGCGCTCGGCACTTAGAAGTGAAAGTTGCGGGTCCTTCGGATGAGACCTTAAAAACCGAGGCCCCGTGTCAGCGGCAGGCGTTGGCACGATAAAGATCCCTCACTGCTCAATGGCCCTGAGTGCCGAGTAAAGGTCAAAATTTGAAGCCCTTCACCGGCATACGGTGACGTCTCCATATGAGTGCAAAATTCTCGAGAGGGAGGTTAAACAATATACAATCAATCGATCAATCCTACATGTATATTTATTTTGTTTCTTTTTAGAAAACCGTATTGATTTTAAGACCATGCAATTGATATTTTCAACCACTCATATGACAATTGCTAAAGTCCTTTGAGGAAGTTTTACTATGAATTGTTACTACATGTATGTTAAATTTTGTCAGCAATTTCAACCTCAAGTACCTACTGTGTACAAACTATTTTTACTTCCCACATCATTCCAACATCATTGACAGAATATGAACATTTCCAGTAATGTTATTTCCACTTATTCTTTTCTATCTTAAGGGTAATTGGTTTGCAATTGATCAATTTATCAAAAATGGTAGTAAGAAAAGGGTATCACCAATTCAATAATTACGTATATGGTTTTCCTCTACATTTTTTTTTTCTAATTTTCATATATTATTTAACATAATTATTTTTAATTTTTAAAAAATTATATTAATTTCCATTGAATTACTTGGCTATTGAATTATATTAAATTTTGTCTTTTACCCTCTTCCATGTGCGGTGCTATCCATTCGTCTGACGTTGTAAAGCAGTCAGGTGTAAAACTTATTTGGTCCAAGGCTACAATACCACCGCTAGGCGCAAGGGATCCTTGTAATACCACATGGTATCTTTAAATTAAATTAAAACTATAGTACGTTATGTTATGAAGTAATTAAAGGTAAACTTAATAATCAAGGGTAAAGATTATACTTTATATTCTACTTGTTAGTAGGAGTAAACTACGGAATCCAGATAAGACCACGTAGTTCAATTCACAAACCGACAATCCCACCAACTAGCTGAAGTTGGAGTCGATAGATGTGTGATCTCGCGAGAATACGATGACAATAAAGAGAAGAAGAAATTCTGCGATGACGATGATGCGATAAAGCAATGATGCAACAGCACGATAAAGCCTTGGTCTTTTGATGGGATGGTGCAATATTATAGCAATGGCGCAATGATGCAAGGATGATAAAATGGTGTCCATCGTGCTATCGCACGATCGTCCTCGCATTGTCGCGCCATGCCCCAAATCACCGTCGTTGCGCTGTCGCACTATCCATCCATCTTTGTAGAGCTCTGTATCGTTTTGGTTTTATATAATAAACATAGGTAATCAGAGATTACAGAGCTCACCTCAACGAATGTTGTCTTTAAGCAAGGCAAATTAAGTCACACAATTAACCAGCAAAAAGTGTACATCCAAAAATGCAAAATTTATGCAATTTTGATACTTTGGAATAGACCTATATAAAAACTTAAAACTAGTTCTTCATCATGAAAATGTAATTAAAATCCAGCATCTGAAGCAAGATTGAGAGTTTGCATCCCTTCTTGCATCATTTGTGCAACTTTGGTTTATATAAGCCTTATAGTTTCTTGGTGATAGACCTGCACCCATAACTTTTACGAGGTCTATTATCTGGAAAATGTATGTCGAATTCAGCATCTGAAGCAAGTCCATTAGTGTGCATCCTAAGATGTATCATCCATGCAAGTTTGTTCAACATAGAGCTCAAAGTTACTTGGAAATGCAAGTTTGGTTATTATAGGGCTCAAAGTTACTTGGAAATGAATCCTGCACCAAAAACTTTAACCTGTTTACTCAACCTGAAAATGTAGGTCAGATTCAGCATCCGAAGCAAGTCTGGTAGTATGCATCCTAAGATGTACCATCCAGGCAAGTTTAGTCATTATAGGGTTCACAGTACCTTGGAAATGAAACCTGCACCAAAAATTTTAACCTGTTCACTCAACCGGAAAATGTAGGTCAGATTCAGCATCCGAAGCAAGTCTTGTAATATGCATCCTAAGATGTACCATCCATGCAAGTTTGGTCATTATATGTCTCATAGTAACTTGGAAATGAAACCTGCACCAAAAACTTTAACCTGTTCACTCAACCGGAAAATGTAGGTCAGATTCAGCATCCGAAGCAAGACTGGTAGTATGCATCCTAAGATGTACCATCCATTTAAGTTTGGTCATTATATTTCTCATAGAAACTTGGAAATGAAACCTGCACCAAAAACTTTAACCTGTTCACTCAACCGGAAAATGTAGGTCAGATTCAGCATCCGAAGCAAGTCTAGTAGAATGCATCCTAAGATGTACCATCCATGCAAGTTTGGTCATTATAGGGCTCATAGTATCTTCGAAATGAAACCTGCACCAAAAACTTTAACCTGTTCACTCAACCGGAAAATGTAGGTCAGATTCAGCATCCGAAGCAAGTCTGGTAGTATGCATCCTAAGATGTACCATCCATGTAAGTTTGGTCAACATAGGGCTTATAGTTACTCGGAAATGAGACCTACACCAAAAACTGCACCAAAAATGTTAACCTGCACCAAATACACTAACCTACGAAAGCCCAGAAGGCTCATTCGAGATTCAAGTTTCGAAATGCGAGATTCAGAATTCGAGATTCGAAATTCGATTTTCGAAATTCAAGATCCAAACTAACCAATCAAAAGCGGGTTCAACTTTTGATTACTTCCCTTTGTTACGTTTTTACTATCAAGAATTCGTTGAATATATTTATAACAAATGGATCATTTGCTAAAAAGGTAATGCAAGAGAAAATGTTTTATGTTTTTAAACGAAATAAAAATAAAATTTGGATTATATTATGAACAATACATACATAATCTTATTTTTCTAATTTAACATAATAGTAAATACGTATAAATGGAATATTATATGGTCTTATCGTTGACTTGTTGAACAAGTAGGTCAACTTATATTATTTCATCAGATTATTGCTGATGGAGAATGTTGCATTTAATTATAATTAGATATGATATATTATGAATTGTATCTACACTGCACAATAATTTAAGGGTATATATTTCATTACATTTATAAAGGGTACATTTGTAAGATAACATTTGTGCAGTGAGACTTGACTGCTGAATCGAACTGTAGCGTTATATAAGGTTTTATAAGGGTAGTCTTTGGCCATAAGCTAGGGTCAGAAATATAACACCATAACGCTATTATAGTTCTGCATCTAATTTAGACTCATCTACTATTTGATATAAGATAAAATAAATGCTGCATTTATTTTAATTCATATCGCCAAGCTGTATTGTAGATATAATTTTTAATTAATTCAAAAAATCAAAGCCTTAGATGAAGATAAGTAATTAAATACTGAATTTTTATGTTTTTCCTCTATTAGCAAAAGGAACTCGATTTTTCTTTATCAATACTACGTCGTCTTTCAAGTTTCAAGCCTTTCAGTATGTTTGGAAAAATGGGCAGGCGGGGTGGGTAGGGGTGGGGTTAACCTTTAGATACTTGCCACGTATTCATAACTTTATTCATACAGGTGTATGTCATCAACCCCGTAAACAAAGTAGACAATACAAAAATATATATATTCCTGATATATGTATTCTATTTAATATTTAAGAAGCCATAATATAAATTGAAGTATATCTTGCTGATCAAAAATCCAATGATTATTTAAATTTCCTTCTTATATAAATAACACTCTGTCTTGCATTGTAATTTTATTAAATTACTTATTTGTTATTAATATATTAAACGATTTCTTGATAGTAAAAGCATAATAAAGGGGAGTAATCAAATCTTGAACCCGCTTTTGAATGGTTAATCTGGATCTTGAATCTCGAAATTCGAATTTCGAATCTCGTATTTCGAACCTTGAATCTCGAATGAGCCTTTTGGGAGCTTTTGATTGGTTAATCTGGATCTTGAATCTCGAAACTTGAATTTCGAATCTCGAATTTTGAATCTCGTATTTCGAACCTTGAATCTCGAATGAGCCTTCTGGGCTTTCGTACTAACCTGATCATTCCTTTGCTGAAATTGCAGCGTCTGAAACTTTGACTGGTACAATGAAACACATTAGAAACATCTTCCATGCATGTCTAATCAATATAGGACATAGAAGTACTTAAAAAGAAAACTGCTCCAAAAAACTTAACCTTAACCCGGGACGCCGACGCCGACGCCGAGGGTATCACATAAGCTCCCCCCAACTTCGTTGAGGTGAGCTAAAAAGTAAAGAAATTCTCCTCAAAAGTGCGCAGAAAATATTGTGCCGTAAAATACACCTTTTTTGCATTACGGAATCTGTAGCGTTATGGTCAAAGACAAATATACATGTATATAAAACCATAACGGTACAGATCTGCAGCTAAGAGCCGTGGACCATGAAGTCGACGCTCGATGGTGCGATAGTGAACATTGTGGCCCTCTCCAGATTCCATTGTACACACATTTCAGTAACTCTCAAATCTAATCAAAATTAACCTGAATAAAAATCCAAACATATTCAGCATGTTCAGTTTGATACAAGTTAGTGCAGAGTTGTTTTTCAACTTACGGTTGATATCGATGTGGTAAATCAACAGATGCTCGTTGCCATTCCAACTCAGCGGTATAACTTTTAAACATTTTCACAAGCTCACACTTCGATTCGTTAGAGCAGACGGAAACACTTATTTTATCAAAGTCTGCAATATACCAAAACCGCAACTGAAACAAAAACAATGAAATCATGGATCAGATTGTCTGCTATATATACCAAAATCGCACCTGTAATAAAAACATTGAAATCGTGGATCATATTAAATTAAATATGCGTCAATTCATATAAAAATAAACATTTACATGTACATTTTATCAGTCTCTGACGCTTACCCTACAGTCCTTAGAAGCGTTGAATGGCTGCATCACTGGGCTTATCATTTTGGAAGATTCCCCCTTTTTACATTTATCAGTAAATAGGGCAAAGTCTAGAAAAACAACATTACATCATTTTTAGTTTTTTTTAAATGTTGACCAAATGGCAAATATTTCGATGAAACAAATTTTCAGCATAATGTTTATAAGAAAATAGATGAACGGAAGTGTAAGAACCATTCAGCTATACTTTCAGCATCTTTCAACGATATGAAACCGTGCTTATCTATAACATTAAGCAATTGAAGTTTTATACGGATACTTTTTAATATCGGAGATTTATAGCTTTAAGGAAATTCAATTTTTTGAGAAAACATTTTTCTTTGTTACATACAACATCATTTTTAATTCATTTCATTAAAAACTAGAGATACTGTGAGCAATGAGCTCACTAAATGATACCCCCGCCTCCCATATGAGTATCGCAGTGTCCATGTATTGCTATGTGAAACCCAAAATATGTGTGAATCAAAAAGTAAAATAGGAGGTGCACAATGGCAATATGTAATTAAAGATCCTGTGAAAGCACGGACGTACGGACAGGCGGACGGACGTACAAACCAATTTTCAACCTGGGGGCATAAAAATTAAATTGTATATCTCTGCATCTTATTAATAAGTGAAACATCAAAACAATAACCGAGATCAATTTTTAGTAGTTCTATTTTTGAGCATTAATGATCATTTCAGAGGATATGACTTAAGTGTCTTTCATGGCTGTATTTCAAGCGTTTAGGGTATTTAGGATTCCTTCCCACACACAGTCATTTCTAAAGTACATTTATTTATATTCACGCCTTTTCTACTGTTCCAGTATTTTTCACGCACCTGTCCCGCCATTATGACAGTACTTGTAATACTTGGCGACATTGTACTCGATAACATTTTCTCTATGAAACGGACAATTGGGACTCTGAGTCCAGTTACATCTGTTGTTGTCCACATCACAGAAATCTCGGTAGTTATTTCTATCTGTAATTCAAAAAAAATCATATTCAATATTTAAAAATCAAAGATCTTATTCGAAACACAGTGAATGGTTTCTTAACACTGAGCTAAACACTTTTAAAAAAGTGAGGTAAAGGTCGAAGATCGACAGTATTTGATTTTAAACAATTAATGCATATGTCGTCATCTCGCCTTCTTGGAAAAATACATATATTTATTAGAGACCCTTTTATAATTCAGTTTCTAAGACGAGGTACATGTAAGTTATTGACAGACAAGTTGATGAAACAAGAATATCAGCAGTCTCGTTTAAAGTCATCGTTTCGTAATTTCTTTGATCAATACAATAACCTTGTCAGCAAATACAATTTATCATTGTGTCAAATGCTGACTGATGTTTTCCATACTAATTGTTAGTCCAGTATTTATACACTGATTTGACGACGGATTTTTCCGTTTATTTCCCGATAATGAAAAGGAGCACACGACTGGTGTGAGCGGTCAGCAGGGTATGCTCACTCCTCCATGGCACCTGATCCTACCTCTGACGTTTTAGAGGTCCGTGTTAAACTGTTTGCTCTGCTCCTGTTTTGTATTGTTTAATTGACTTTGATATTGAATACTGTTTGTTATCTCCATATCCATCATTACATAAAATATAACACAACATGGACAGTGTAATTATACCGCAGAATCCCCTATCTTCGTCATCTTGTACAGGACAGTCCGGGTTTAAGTCGCATACTCTGTCCTTAGGGATACATTTACCAGTAGCGCATCGGAACTCGTTATCACTGCACTGTGGCATTTCTACAAATTGAAAAAAAAGGAAGCACTGTTTAATTTTTATTTATGGAAAGTAATTAATAGCATGTTCATTACCCTAAACATCTTAAGTACATGATATGCATAGTTTTCAAAGTCGAAGTGTTCTCCTAAAATTGTGCCTTAAATTCAACGTTTATCATTTGAAAATCTTTTGCATGGTCTCAATCATCCAGATTTGACTCGAACGTGAACAAAGTGCTACCAGGTCATTTTTTATATCAAATAAGAGACCAAACGTTAATATCTATATCGTGAACATTAAACTGACTCACAGTGGCATAAACAATATTGTAGGTTGTAAGCTACCTTTTATTTCCACGCAATTTGCTAGCCAGATCCTTTGGATTGCCGCTATGTATAGTGCATGTATACAGACAGTAAGTTGAAACAGTTCGTCCACCCTGCCAATCGGAATTCTAACAACAGTCCAGTTCCTGAAAGGTCAAAGACCAGTTAGGCTGTTTTTTAAATTATAAAAATGCAATAATATCAAATTCACTAACGTCATATACGTAAATTATATAATAAAATAAATTAAACTTGATCATTTTCAAGGTTTTACATGTAAATCTACTCGGAATTTTTTGTGTTGAAGTTCTGGTAAATCGATCATTTATTAATTGTTCTCGCCCTTCACTGATGAATTCTCGTTAATTGAATTGCTCCTGACGAAAATTTGTGGGAGGTGTAGTTTCATGTGTGAATGAAAATCATCTTTCACGGTAAACAAACACCAAAACGAACTCCCAAGAGCCGGGATCGACACGTCAATCTTCATAAGCGGCTCCGTGATTTTCTAAGAGACCATTAAATTATTAAAAACTTTAAGACAATTGGAAACTGTTTATTTGAAGGGTTAAAATCTGTTAATGTGGTGTTTTCTGGTAATGAAATGTACCAGTGACGTCAAATACAAATGGGTTCATATTGAATTTAAAGGGCCCTGAACTAAGAAACAGTTAAGTCGCATATGAAGCTATCAAATTGATTTTCTCATTCAATGAAATAGTTCTTGGGATATTTACTCGCTGTAAAGTTATATTACCACAAAATTGAATTAAAAAATGCTTCTTATATCAAGATGAAATCAAATACTTGTTTAAATGAAAATTTAATCGTACAGCTGATCGAGTAAGCTCACTGTAAGGTTTTAAAAATGGTAGTTGTTTGTTTTTGTTTGTTTTAAGTACATCAATCATAACAATAAAAAAAATATTTATACACGATTATTATAATAAGAAAACAAAATTGTGCTTACATTTTTTCAGAATTGAAGTGTTTTCGCATTAAGGGGGTTGACCCCTTTGATGAATTGATGGATACCGTGACGTAAGTAGTAGCGTAGGCAGTCATCAGAATGTTTAGAGAACAGTTGGTTCCGGTTCCATATATGTTACGTGATCGCCAATGAGTTCTCTGTTCCTCTGTGGTATAAAATAAATCAAATTTAAATTAAATCTTTCAAAAATTTATACCAGATCAATTGAAACAAAAAATTATAAACTGAAATAATTATTGCAAGTCCTGTAGACTGATAAGATACTTGGTCTCCTAGAATTAAGAGGACTGGGTGGTTGTGGCCATTTTATACACGAAATTGATCTCCTTTAGAAGAAGACCTCCAAATAAATGTATACAAAAATGATCATAATTTAAGACTAAACTGTTTGAAATTTTTCTTTGCTAAATGGAGGTTGACAGCATAAGATATCATATCTAATAAAAATTAAATAATATCTGATGGTTAATTTGCTGACCTCCCAGCCTCATTAATCAATCAATCAATCAGTTTCTTCGCTCTAAAGCTTTACGAACTTCTAACACTGAGTTATTCGTGCCAATGTCATTATCTAGAGATTGTTTATGAAAATTCTTATTGTTAATGGCCGCTTGAAAGATCTTTATCTTGATCATGTTGATGCCAATATAAAAAAGAAAAATTGTAAAATACGACAGTTGTCTATATATAAGTAGCTTAATCACTTTCTAAACCAATCCAATCTGTTTTCCCACTTGAAGCCGTCAGATTCTTAACATTACGTTCAAGGTACATGTAAACCAGCGCATGAGACCTTGATAAGCATGTTGCATGTGCGGAAAGTATTTGAAGCAGATGTATTATTACTATGAATAGTCCTTACCATGTGCCACTGTGAAGGACAGATTATTCTTGGGTCTTGGTACGTCATCACAAAAATCGCTTGTTTTGCAGGAATCGCGGTGAACCATGGAGCCATTCGTCGTCCAGGAAAAACAGGAACTCGTGCTGAAGTCGCAGTCAGGCGCTGTCAAAATATAATTCACATAGACTAATATACATTAAGGACCTTAATGAAAAATATTTTTTTATTTAAAAAAATTGTAGAAAATATTCTGTTTATCTTATTTTCAAGACAGGATCTCATGCAACAATTAAAAACCAGAAAAAGTTTTTTTTTTAGTAAATAATTGATAAACAGAAACCATTCAAAATAAATTAAGTTATATGTTTATTAGAATTTGACTTTTTTTCTAACATATGACATATCACTAAAAAATGCGCAAAAATATATATTCTCTAAATCAGTTAACGTAGGCATGCAGTCTTTAGAGGGTCCTTAAAGGTCTTAGTAGCAACGTGGTTCAGACGGAGGATATGATACATGAACAACTCGTCCGCCTAAACAAACTCGAAAATCGTTCGGCTGGGGAGGGAAGGGGGTGGGATCTTCCTCTTGCTTTTGGTAAATCATTTTAAAATACAAACAATGAAATACTTTTAAATATACCGCAACTAGGCAGTGGGAGGACAGCTTTTGACTAAAACATTCGTAAGTAAATATCGCAAATGACTTTTTACGATGCTGAAGAACCACCTCGCACTTGTATCGTGCTACAGGTCCTTAGATTTAATCAAATAAGTATTTCAATGCATATCAAGCGTTAGCATTTATGACAGACAATGCAGCAGAATTGAATATATTGCATCATTAGGCAGGGTTATACAATAATGTGATAGACTTGAGAGACGTACAAAATATTTTAAGGGAATTGTTTCTGCCATGCTTAATAAGCTCAAGTAGGAACATGATCCATATCTCTAAGGGAGTATCCACGGAGGTTTTGTGAATAACAAACATTCACATGAAAAGGAACAATGACTATTTTTTTGATTGAGCTCCCTTTGTTACTTAACATTTTTTGTTCATTAATTTTATGGAAAATGTGTCCTGCTTCTTCTTGTTATGTTTGTGCTTTGTTGACTTTGAATATTCTTTGAAGGTTTTTTTATTAACACACACACATACATTTACATGTATGTCAACACATGTCATATGGCCGTTACATATACCGTTATATTGAGCAAATCAAGAAAAAAATGAGATTAAACAATCCCACAAAAAATATGGTATTCTACTCATTTTTCCCTTTAAAAAGTAACATTTAAAGACGTGCAATTTGCATTAAAATTATTTTGTTCGAGCACACAGGTACTTGTGGACAGGACCCCCCCCCCCCCCCCGATATTCAACCCGGGGGCTTATTTGACATTTTTTTTTCACAATTTATATTTAGAACACTTATTCAACATGTTTGCAATAGGAACAAATCGTCCACAAGTACCTGTGTTCGAGCAATGTTACGTGAACACGGCCTTTGTTTGATTGGACACAGAGAAAAGAACCTATCCTGATGTTGTCCGTATGTTTACATTGGCACCGATCCCCACACTTTCGCTTTACTTGCTTTCTGTAGTGATTTGACTTTCCGGTGAGTAAAATTAACATTATTATCAGAAATCAGTGGCTCGGGCTGTCGTATTTGTCACATACAGCAAACATTAAGATGTCCCGCAGTGCGAAGCCTTTAATCAAGTTAATTAGGATGTTAATCGATTTCTTCATGAAGATCCTTTATCGAGTACCTTTGGTCTTAATGGACGTGTCAATTTTGTTTACTACCCTTCATCTTATTTATATGCCGATATGAATACGATTATCTTAGCCGAATTGATGTCTGACTTGAATTTTCCATTCAAATTACATCCGATATTGTTCCACAGCTCGTCCTAAGGACAATCAAAGGGTTTTTACTGGGAGGGATGTAAGTTGGTGCTAAACCCTGTAATATCGATGACTAAGATCAAGGCTGAAAATAGAACAAAACAAGATTTGCTGTTAATCTTGCTGTTGTTTGACACGTTTTCTTTCTTAAACACAACAATCGTTCCCAGACCTATTATATACGCATTTAAATGCAAGGATTATTGGTTAATACAACTGTTTACATCGCTTGATCTCTACATAACGTCGGTAAGAGGTTTTAGTTATGAATGTGCACGTCTGCTGCAAACTTCGCCATGGGACTCTTTCGTTGTCCTTTCAGCCTGAGTGTAAAGTGCAATCAGCGATTTATAAAAAGAATATCATGCCCTAATATTAATGAACAGAGGTATATTAATTAAACTTTTACCATAATATTACACAAGTAGATATTTTTAAAAAATAATGCAGCTAAAAAGGTTAGTTTCGTATTATCACACTGATAGTCATAGAATAAAGATTATTCAACCCAGTTTAATATGCTGTTTAAATTTTTCCTACTCTGTAAAAAATACTGCTTAGTTCAATGTAAATAAACGATAGAGGCCTTTTATAAGGCAATACAATTAAGAGGCATAAGTCATGCATTCGAACCTCGGCCATGACTGACTTATAATTAAAGTTGATTTTAAAAAGTAGCTGTTTCTTTGCCAAGCGAAATATAATTTGTAGGTCTTTAGGAGGAGACCCTACAAACTGACACCCCATGCCACGACAAGTCTTGTCTCGAGGAACATCCCTCACTGCTACATTGTATGAGTGACCTTGAGTGCCAAGTGAATTTGAAGCCCTTCAATGGATTTATTTAGACGTATAAGCGTTTAAATTATCGAGTGGGACGTAAAACTACATACAGTCAATCAATCCTTTGGCTAAAATCTTCAGTACTGTATTAGGCTGCATGGATGTCACCGCCGATTCACATAGTGCAAAAGAATATTATGAAAATTTGCAGTTTTATCGACAAAGTTAAAAAATTAATCTGTTTTTAATATTGATGTTTTGACATGTTCGGAGCACATATTGCAGCATAAAATGATAAATAATATCTCTAGAAAAACTCGACACTAGGGACGTATTTCACACAAATACGCACACGCAGTATTACGTCAATGGACAAAACTAGGGAAATTGAAATTATTGGTTGAATAGATAGCACCTAAATCTAATTGTCTGTTTACAGATTCCATTTCTTTGTGGGATATTCTCTTTAGAATAATCGAGGAAATCGGAGGTCAAAGCAGTTCAACAACTGTTTTTATTTTTCAAGAAAAACGGTTTCCAATTTTATTTTCAAATCTGTTTTGCTAATCTCTAAAATCTACACCTAGGCCAAATTGTGAAGAAAATCCCTGGAAGAAGATATACCAAAAATACTGATCGCCTACTGACGTTTTTACGAAGGGCATCTTGGAATTGATTTTACAGAGAATTCTATCTTCAAGAAATCAGGTAAATTCCTTAAAGCTTGACAAATCCCAAACAGACATGTACCTGGTCAATTGCCAGAGAAAAATGCGATTCAAAATCCTGAGAAATAATGCAGGGTTGTGAACTGAAACCATGAAAAACATTCAGACCGAAGTAATCGTTAGAAGATGGAAACAATTTTACAGAAAATTTTTACAGAATAAAAGCTTGGTCTTGGATTCTGGGATAGAAGCTCTTGGAACAAGGACAAATGCTCTTGGATAGGAATACAAAGTTCTGTTGATTAAAAGTCAATATCTTTTGCTATTTCAACTATTTAGAAAACGAATGAATTATTAATTATGCATGACCATTACCTACAGTTATGAAATCGATAAATATATGTACAGTATGTTCTATCCAATGAACAAATGGGTTTTATAAAAAAAAATATTTTTCGTGGTATTCGGCATCTTACAAACGCTTTAATCTTTTTTTTTAATTACGATTTTTGAAAAGATTTCGGCGTCTGATGAAAGCCTTTATTGATTACAATGATTCAACAACAAAACGATAAATATTTAAACTAATACCAGATATTTCTTAACGTCAAATGACATTATTTATTCAGGGGACACATGTACTTGTAAATTTCTATATGCAGTTCCCAGGGGACTTAATCATGGCGTGTACACAAAAAAGCATGACATTATTATTCCTTGACTGAGTTTGAAATTGAGCCTTCTCATAATTTGCTGGGTGTTGTTTTGAGAAATAAAATATAGCAACATGTCTACTTGGTTTTTTACAAACATCTGTGCGTTTCAAAATTTACAAAACACGAAGCATTTGATTAATCAAATTTGAAAATATATACATGTACATGTATATCAAAAGCTTTCCCGGCTAATTTGTATTTATTGAATTTTTCTGAAACTTCTGATTCCATTAATTAATTATTTAACATATTCCGCTCTTTGATCAACGACCATTATGTGTTTGGAAAAGAGACATAAACATTGTACAGACGACTGTGAAGTTTGCCTGCAGCCAATACATGTAAGTACCATAGACAGACGGTACACACTGCATACAGATAAATTCGCAAAATCATTAGAATTTATTCACCACTGAGAAAACCATCTCCGACATATACGTCATTCTTTTTACCTGTATTTAAGTTTTCATAACGTTGAATTTAAAATTCTTTTCTCTCAAAATAGAAATATTAAAAAAAATATTATGTAAAGATGCTTACCTATAAAATTAGCCTCCAATCTTTGAAAAGAAAAAGGATATCCCCCATTAACTGTGTTTGGTTTTATATTTTCGTCATACAAAGAAACAGTCAGATTCAAACCCCCTGTTTTCAAACAATCCAAGATGTGAATGTCTTGTGGAGAAAATTCAAGGTAGTATTCAGTCATATTCCCATTCTGTTTCACCCGTGTAATGGGTGACAGTTTGAAGTTCACAGAACTTAAATTTGGACACAATAGATACAGTGTCCATGATGAATTGGAACTCTTTTTGTACTCCGATGAAACTTCCACTACCGCTTGAAAGCTTTCTAAAACTTGGCCTCTGATTTGATCAGAAATATTGTCGGTAAAAGAACAAGTTATCCGAAAATCATTGTCAGAAAAATAAGTCTTTTGAGCAACCTTCGGGTTTGTTATCAGTAAGTATCCTTGAGATACACAGAATAACGATAGCAAAAGAACGAGACAAACTTCACAACTCGCCATTTTCTTGTTTACTGCTCATTAAAGTCTATATATGTACGGATTAAAAATTAAAATGGATTTAAAAGTTGCAAATGCAGATTAACCTCCCCGGATTAAAGGATTAGCGTTTTAGGTTAAAGCTTCCAGGGTTTCTTCGGTCTTTATCTAATTACACTATTTTCTTCGTCACGTGTAAAATTCACTGAATGTGTGGCAGTATGGACAATGATTCATTGACAAGATGACGATTTTATACATTCCTAAGCAGCATACTACTTTCACCAGCGTTCGATGTCTGCCTCTTCGATACAATAATGCAACTGAGCTGTATCGGCATCAATGCCAGTCTCGTGTCATAGAGTCTGAAGTGTTTTCACCGGCTTTTATTATACATATATATATTTTCTCTAAGTGAGCTACGCGAGAGATACAGGTATAATCGATCACTTACATAGCTTAACGACCTACATAAATTGTGAATGGGGAGCAAGGCTGCTTATTTATTATATATACTGCAATTTCTTCCCACTCGAAGTTCTCCCCCTCTCCACCGTGCATTCCCCTTGACAAAACTTATCGTGCTAATTTGATAGATGAAATAATTCGGTAAAAACAGCGATGTATTTTAAGGAAATACTAAAGCTGTAACAATTATATCACGTCCTACGTTCCTGGTTTAGGTATTTCACGCTGGGACGACTTTATTACGAGCGATCTTTAAAATTGTGACAGTTTTTAGAAAAAGCTGCTAAATTTTTAACATGGTTCCATCGTTTTAAATTAATTGTATCGAAATACGATGCTCTAGAAAGGGAATAATAAAATTCTAATGCTTATTTTTAGGGGGTTATAAATGTTATACGCATTTCATTTCAGAATGTGATATAATATATTCTCCAAAGAGACAAAGTTAGCATAGCTCGATTCTCTTGAAAAATTAAAATTGCAATTACACTGATAAACATCAGTGATAACCTACTTTGTAGTTCCTTTAAGTCCTTTACTTCGTCTTTTTTTTTTTTTAAATTTCTACCTCTCTTGCATTAGATGTGGTATTTATACGCACAAGAAAACATGTCCTTGAATCCTCCATATGTGATTTCATATTTATTTATTTATGTACTATGAAATACTTATACATATAATTTTAATGTCAGTGCACTAAATGCCAGTTATTCATTTGCAAGAAGGCGTAATTATCGTAAGAAACATATCGTTTTCTTTTTTTAGGATGCTGATGATGTACATGTAGATATGCTAGTCCGCCGTGCTATTAATTATGATGAGAAGTACTAGTATTCCTCTATTTTGAATGAAATTATTCACGGCATTAGGCGCATCAACTCTTCTTTTTATAAATTATGAGATTGCATCTAAATCACGTCGAAGTGATCGATCTGTGATAGTTTTGGTTCCATTTTCTGATATTCTTCTATTAACATCATATCAATGCGTTGTACACAAATGCAGAAAAGGATTTACTCATAGAAATTTTCATAAATTTTATTATCTAAGCTGTAATTAATCCTTGAAGATTGCCTGTAAGTCTTTGGGAAGAAGTAAATATTTGGAAAAACAAAAACTGAATACTTAGAATATCAATAAATGTCGTGGTGGAAAGAAATTTTGATCATTGGGGAGAGAAAAAAAGACTGATTTTTTTTTTTTTTTTTTTTTTTTTTTTTTTTGATCGGATAATTTTTTTTTAATTGATTTTAATTGAATACCTTTAAATAAAACGATTTAATAACACACAGGGTATTCAATTTGTCCGTGTGGACTAGTGTGTTAAATGTAGGAGAGACGACATACATGTACAAAAAAAAAAAAAAAAAAGAATTCAATGCTTAAATATTGTACATACTATTGACCTTTTTTTCACTTGTTAGCTTTCTTTTAAGGAGGTGGCCCCTCTCCCACTTTGAAAACCGTTTCAGCAGACCTGCAACTCTTTACAACTGTCGAGATCAAAGCGTTCGTCTGTTCAACAACAAACGTATATATATGTATGACCTTAAATAATCCAATAAAAAGTCTCAGTGGTCGGAATTAAATACTTAAAATAAAAAAGAAAAACACGAAAAACTTCAGTAAAGCTTTAGGCCTTTCATTCTATCTTCAGAAGCTTCTAAAGATAGAATGAAAAGCCTAAAGCTTTACTGAAGTTTTTCGTGTTTTTCTTTTTTATTTTAAGTATATGTATGACCTATATACTCATAATTCTGCATGATAGACAAATCTCTATACAGGAAATTGAGCCTGTGCCCTTTCCATTATAATATGACTGTCCTAAGTAAATTATGACTCTTAGTTGACTTCCATTGAAATTCAAGGCCCTCTGACGTATTTATTGTTAGTATGTTCTTCATGCAGCATTAATCCAAAGAACTTATTATTACAAAATCATGAATTTCATGTTAAAGACCCCCATTGTTCTTCATTTTCCCCAAGCCCCTTTTCTCGTCGCCTCTTGAATCAACTGGCACTGCTGCACTTATAGCTGCAGTGCAGTGAAGTGCAAATACAAAAACTGTTGTTTTTAGTATAGATTCGACTCGAGTTTATCCAATCAATTTCGATACATTTTATGTCAAAATGGCTCTCTTTCATACTTCCGATATTGCGAAAACAAAGCGAGAAAAGATTATCAAGAAACAAGAATATTATAAATACAAGTTTTAAACATAGAAACTTGATCAGAGCTAACGTGGTTATCGTGGAATATAAATAGATTTCAGCCCGTTTCATAAACTAAGAAGACTTCAACATAAAGTACAGTCTAGTGCAGTTTTTCCTTTATTTTATCTTGTCTAAAACCAATCAATGCACTGAATAAGCGTAAAATTCAGAATTACTGTTAATGGAATCTGTTAATAGATTTTCTGAACAGAATTAACACAAATATACAAAATATAAGGAACACATGTCCCCCTAAAGACCAAAAATTACTTCAAACTCAGAAAGTAACGTTTATGTTTGTTTATTTGCTTGTTTAATTTGTCTCATGGAAAATTGATCACTAACATAGAGACGCGTGATGCAGATATTACAACTACAGTAATTCGAGTATTGTTCCAATTTAAATCTAATAGAACATTTTTTTTCAAAACAACATTTGAGTTAAATATGTATTCGTGAAACACTGATGCCCCCGCATAGCTGCTAATAGCAAGGATTGAAGTTTCTCAAATGCATGTCTTCAAGGTCAAGCAATTAAGAAAATGTTACTACCCAAACAAATGACTTGCCTCTTCTGTAATTATATGACTGTGTAATTTGAGTGTCTAAGTACATTCACCAGCCACCTAAATTAAAAGCTTGGCCAACATTTAAGTAAAAAAGTATATCAAACACCAAATCAAGGTCAGCGGTTAAAAATTAATTTTACCCAGAGTAAGATCCATCACCCATTGTTCAAAGGTTATAGCCATAGTTAAAATTTTTTATTGTAGCTTAAACCCTGAGTTCAAAATGGTATTATCCAGACTGAGGAAAGTCATATGCATATCACAAGAAATATACCTTTGAAAAATGTAAGCACTAGTACTAATTGTAACAAAGTTAAGACGAAGGGTTGTTTAAATTTGGCTCAAACTCTAAGATCAAGTCCATGATGTCAAAAATTTAAACCAACTGGAAGGTTTTGTAACAATAAATTATAAAAGTTCAAAAGTTATAGATAGCATCTAAATTTCCTTTTTTCTTTTTTTTTTTTTTTTTTTTTTTTTTTTTTTTGCAAAAGTGATTTTAAAAAATCCTTCAAAATATAAAGAAATTGGTATTTTGTACTCTATGGGAGTTTTGTATTTGCAATACAAAGTACTGCGGGCATCCCCGGATAACTTGGCGAGGATCATGCAAAGAGAACATCAGATAGTGTGAACAGAGCTGCAAAAAACTGAAAAAGACTACTCAAAACACAGAGTGAGATAGAGGACTGTTGCCGAGGCACTCTGTCCCACCAGGAACCATCATGACATAATGGACTGTAAGGTCATTGGAAAAGAGAAGACTCACAAACCAAAAATCAATAGAAATGTTCCCTTTCAAACACACAGACAAAATTCAACTATATGGGGCCTGGACGTTTCTTTACACTTACCTTGTCGTATATACAAAAGGAATATTCGGGAAACAACTCAAAATAATTGTTTCATACAAAAATTGACTTTTATAGTATCCGAAGAGAACATTGTTAATGAATATCGCGATTTTTCCTCCTGTATTCTTTTTTGGGATTTTGTAATTGGTGATTTTTAAAGAATTCCCCATGAATCTTTTAAGAGCATCATTTGGTAATAGCCTTTCAACAAATCCCAGTAGAAAACGATCTATTCCAATGCCTACACAGAGTGGGTTTTGGCGATAAATGTATCAACCTATTCTCATATATTAGTACCATGCACTTCTAAAATGATTTATATATATATAATTCAAATAAATTGTTCTTTGGTTTTTCAGTTTTTTATGAAACTTCCTTCCCACGATCGAAGAGCGCATGATTCGTTAAAACTATGAAATTATCCTTGACATTTAGAGGCTTGTTATAAAATGTAATTTTTTTTTTTAAAAATTGTAACTTTTATACCGGTAGTAAATGAAGAAAGAAGCAGATGATGCATATATATACATGTGCATGATCATAGATTGACACTTGCCAACCGTCTTCTGAGATTAAGAAGAATTAGCTGTAGGAAAGGTATATAAATGTACCATAATCCGTGTTTTGTTTTTTTTTCACGGAAACATTGTACACAAATTTGACACCCAATATCAACCACCCCTGCGACCTATGTACAGGCACTGTTTTAGGATACATGTACGAACTATCAGTATTGCTTAGTCTGACAATGTAATCTTAGTAATCTTAGTTATGTTGTAAGATGTTCTAACTTGGGCAGAACATAGTCCCAAATGGGAGAAAGGGGCATCCCCACCCACTGAAAATAATGTAAACTTGTCCAAATGCGTACAAAACGTTGTAATAAACTTTGTTTGTGGAGAAGGCTGAGGGGATGTAACCCGATTTTAGAATTTTCCTCATCCGATAAGAGACTCTACTATAATTTTTCGTAACTCTATACACCTCATAACTCTAAAATAAACAAAAATCTGTAGGGGTCTGGACTACCCCCACTAGATTGGCTTCTGTCTATTTGTCCAAATAAATGTCTTTCCAAGACACGCTTCCAACATTTTTGATGACAAGAAACAGAAGCATTAGTCCCCGAGATAATTGATTTTGTAATTTAAGAATCAAAACAATCGTTCGAAATGTCATCGTTGGTGGAAATGAATATCAGTGTCAGTCTGCTACAATACCTTGTATATTGCAGTATAACCATCCTGAGGCATTATTATTTGAAACAAGCTAATTCAGAGAATTCGTGTCCCCCGCTTAGGGAAAAAGTCGGCTCCTCCTGACTGAATTTGTAGAATTATTAAATTTA